GTGGTTCGCTCACTGATTCTCTACTGAGTGGGCTGTCCGTTTTCAGATCCCCTGCAAAAAGTGAGTCCAATTTTTAGTGGTTAAAATCAGAAACTACCACTAAACCACTACTAAAGCCAACAAAAGCTAAGCGGATGGCTGGGAAACCCGCCACATTATGCGGAGGGTCGCTATATGCGGGGGCTACGCCGTAAAAAAATACTTCCGGGGGGGATTCCCGAACCCATGGGGCACGACTGGTGGTAAGCATAAAGATCTGGGTGAATTATTATAATATTTCACCGGCCTGAATTAAGGTGGTTGGGGGGCTATTCCCCACATAAACCACCATTTGGGGTGAGGTCGTGTGAGGTCGTTATAATTCACCCAGAAAGATGTCATTCGTGAGGCTGGCGTTCTCTGTACTTGGGGCCAGCGGATGTCTTCTTGATACTATGAAGCTCTGAGGCTCTATTGCAAGGACCTTGCTCCCTACTCGCAAGCTTTGGGAAATCAAGCATTGCCATCATGGATTCCGGCCGCCAGAAGCCAATAGCTGTCAAGACATATGCAAAGCACCGGGCAACGGCTCATGACAGCCATCAAGATTGGCACATCTACAACTCACCTGCACCACATGCCATTCGTCAAAAGTCGAAACAAGAAAGACCAAAAGGTCGACACACCTGGCAAATCTCTTTCGCAAACGCCCACGGGCGGCAGCAAATCAACAAACATCTTGGGAATCACCGCAACCCTGGGACTTTGCAAGATCAATGCGTGTATTTTCTACACATTACAAGATGCCTCACGCGCGTGGCACCGCATCAGGAACCCCATCCAGGCTGGTGTCGCCCCGATTTCAAGACAACACACATTTCGTGCAGCAGCCTTGAACAAGCAAAGACAGGGCTGGCCCAAAAGCATCGTGATTGCAGGCTGGCCCAAACGCATCTTCGTTGCAGGGACAAGTTGCCCAGAAGCGTAGCACACTTGCAATGAGGCCGTGCTCAATTCAATCTCAGCTTGCCATCAATGGGCGAAATTATGCTAATAGCTCGAGCATGTCCAACGTTGAAGCCACTAAGCACCCCCGCAAGTGAATTTTGAATACACATCAACCCGTTCCTAGGGTCCTCCAGTAGAGAGGTTAGAATAAGGGCACCCACTTCTTTCTGCAGTCTATTTTAGTAGGGAAACCCTCCCAACCAAAAAACGGTTTAAAAAGGGCACCTGGGGGACCTTGCGTTCAGTCGCTGCCCTTTTCCCGGCCTTGGTGCCAAAGACAAGATCCCAGGGCCTTGTGGCACTGTGCCCGCTCGGCCCCTGCACGGCAGTAGGAGAAAGGATCAAGTGACCGGAGCGTCCAAGCAAACCAACTAGCCAAGCATGCAACGCATGGGCAAATCGCTGAAGCAAACATGTGTTTGTTTATTCTCTGATAGGATGGAGGCTGGTATGATCCGTAGTTGAGAGAAATCAATCCTGTCATCATAGCTCCGAGCCCTTTGCGCCGTCGTGCCACCCCGGGTTGGACACATACTGCGGATGGACGAAATCCTGCACCACCTAAGAATCCCTGCAATGATGGTTCCCCTGTAATTAAATACCAGCAAACAATGCCTTCCCATTGTTTCAACTTGGTGCTGGATTGCGTCCATCCACAGTAGGCCGCCTAAGTTCCACTCAGAAACAGCAAATGCACAACTAAACTCACACCCTCACCGCCACCTACACGCGCACCCGCATGAGTACGAAAGCATGCAAGGACGCACACGCACACTCCCGCACAGCCAGTTGGAGACAGACAGAGACAAATGCTATCACAGACACCGACGCAGACCACAACACAGGCGCACCATCAATACAGACACCCACACCAACCGTGACTGACCAACACCGACCGACACAAACACAGGCTGACACAGAGAAGCAAACACCGACACCGACAACAAATCCAAGACAAACAGAAAGACAGACACAACTAGGTCCAGCAGAGAGGTTAGAATAAGGGTACCAGTGTTCTGTAGTCTATGGGGAACCCTCCCCAGTAAAAAGGGGTTAAAAAGGGCACCTAGCTGGGGGACCTAGACAACCACTAATAAACACCACAGCCAAGACCCACGTACTGCGCGCGTCAAAAAAACGCACTCAGCGTGCGGGTTGCCTATTTGGGGAGTTCGTCAGATCCCCGCCCCCAGCCTGCGTCAGGAGGGAAGTAGGCATCTGCCACCTGTGCCGCTGAAGACTCAGAAGGTGGGACAGGCACTTGCCGTCACTTGCCTCACTAGTCATTATGAACATTTTTGTGCAGTTCCAACACTCTGCTGCGGAGCGCTTGCTAGAAGGAACGCTGGAACAGCAGCAATCTGCGAAACTCTGATGCTCTTATCAAACGCCATGGCCAGGCTCTCAGCGCAATGTTTGCCACTGCCAGTGCGCAAGATAAAAGAAGCAAGCGCTCATTCATCCTGACTCATGGAAACACCTGCTGGCGACTGGCCCTGAGGCTCATGGACCTTCACGAAACTGGAGGACCTGGTCCCAGCTCTCCACATCCCCGGGGACGTTTGCTGTTCGACTGCATTTGGCTTGGTCTTTGCTCGCTGCCCCCGAGAAAAGTTTCTAACTCTTTTTGTGGGCTAAATTTGAAAACCAAAAACCACTAAATCCTGAAAACCCTAAAAACCGGGAACCACCAAGTGGGGAGGTTTCGCATTGCTTCCCCAAAACTTGAAGGCAACAGATTCGGAGTCCAACCTCAACCTCAAGAGCTCTACCTCAAGAGCTCTCCCTGCCTCGACGGAGCGCTGCAGCATGGGCAGGGCATCTGCATACCTTCCGCACGGGGTCTTCCCATGACCTTTTGCAAAAAGCAGATAGGTTTCCCTGGTAAATGGAATCAAACCCTATCTAAACCAGTGGAACCCATCTGGTCCATCTGGCAAAAAAAGGCTTCGTTCGCTGGTCCACCTTGGTGCCCAACATATGCAAAAAAATATATGCGGAGCCGGGCGTTGAGCAACTGGCCCGGCGATAAGAAGTGGCCTCGATTTGACATGTCGCTGCCGATTTCCCGTCACACCCGTCATAGCGTGATCCTTTGTTGGTTTGCCAGTGCTTCGCCCTGGGATTGACAGGACCACCACTTGCTGGATGGTTACCTTTCAGTTTCAAGGCGGAACGCCAACCCAAAAAGAGAAATTCAGTTGATGCAGTGTGCGAGGTGTTCCCCAAAAAGTCCGTGGTCTTGAAACACAGCCATATGACGTGGGCAGAGGTACCACACACCCCGCAAACCCCGCCTGCCCTCCTTCAGCGCTTGCTCTCCTGCCGCAAAGTCCGGCAGCTGCGCCAGCAGCGAAAAGCAGCGACGGCCTTGAAAGTTCAAGGGCCCCATGCTGACAATTGCATTTGCATGTGTGCATACATATGCACGTGGATGGATGGAGGCTTTCTACATCTATTTATGCACACACACGCATTTGCATCCATGCATTTATACATGGCGAGATAGACATGTGATATGAATGTCGTGTGTATGCGTGCATGCGTATATATCCTAGTTGACCACTCGCATGCTTGTCATTCTTTTTTTTTGGAATCCCTTTCTCCGTAGTCAAGTCAAATTCGCAGATCACATAGTCCTACATGTTCAGTGCTTCTCTTTTCGTCCTCATGTTGTGTACGGCTCACTTCTTCTTCTCAGTTCCAAACTTGCTTCAACCCAGGCACCAAGATGTCGATGGCTGCTGGCGATCGGCGACTCAGAGCAACAAAGCTCCGCGAAGATGGCCGGTCCCTTCTTTCCCTTCTTTCATTTCCTTTCCCTTTCCTTTCCCTTTCCTTTCCCTTTCCTTCATTTCCTTTCTTCCTGTCCTTTTTCCCTTTCTTTACACCTTTCCTTCCATCTTTCCTGACCTGCGCGAGCTCCCCAGCCACACAAACCGCAGCGCCTCGCTGAATGCCCGGGCCAAGTGCCGCGCACCGCGGCAGGCCCCGCAGGCCCAAAGCCGCCGCCATGGTGCGCGTCTCCGGCTTGAGAGCTGCGGGCAGGCGTCCCTTTCACACAAACCACCATTAGAGTCGTGGTTGGGTTGATATACCTACCATTGTTGACCCACCAATACTAAAACCATGGCTGGGCTCATATTACAATACTTGTTTTTTCTCCGGATGTTCGTCGTCCAAGTTGGGTCAACCATTCCTTCAATGGAAATTGAACCCCTCGCATTCGGCCCTCGGATTCAAGGGCGCAGGCCGGAAACCAGCGGCTGCCTTTCAGTTGAGCCAACCCAGAAGCTGCAAGCTGACCCCTCTCCCATCCAGACCTCCTGGCTCCAGACCTCCTGGTTCATTACTAGGGGGGTGTCTCCTTTTAGTGGGGATTCGAATCACTTTCGGAGAAAACACCCCCTAAGAGTGGGACGGGTTTATTCATCCTGGGTCACCACTACAACACACCCCAACAAATCAACGAAATCATTACTTCTGAGCATGTTGGCTCGCATGGGATGTGCTATGGTGTTTTTCAGCTCACACCAACCACGGCTTGCATGTCCGTGGGCGGGCCATCGACTTGTGAAAGCTGCGCCTGGTCCATGGCGTCATGTTCAACTCAGTTGCCAGTTGCTCAGAGGACCCAACAATACAAGGTGATCACCTTGTTGGGCCATGCAAAAATGCAAGACGGGGCAAGGTAAAAGGTCAAAAGCTTGGATTTGGGCCAAGGCAAAGTCAAGCATTAAGAGGCTTGGAGGAATGGTTGGAGGTGTGGAGGTTCTGTAGGGCACGGCGCAACCCGTTTGCCGTTTGCCCTCTCAGGTGAGGGCATGTAACCCACTATATAGGTCTGAAGTGGAGGGGCCATGACGTTGCCCTATATCCCAAGGCGGCGTTTGTAAGCACAACAAGGACCCAGACAACAGATTGAACGATTCTCGGCACCATTGCCGGAGATCCCACCAGCCGACGCTTTCCACGGGCGCCGCGGTGTTTTTTGTTCGGAGACGCCGCGCGCGTCAGCAGGGCGCCACGCCGCAGGTGTCCTTGCGCCGCATGTGTGACATCAAGCCCCACGCTAAACCAGGGAAACGGACCTGCGCAGCCGAACTATGCAAAAACAGTCATGGCAAAATCTCCAAAATACTGAACGTGTGCAGACAGCGCCGTCCGTTTTCAGATCCCCTGCTAAAAGTGAGTCTAACTCTTGGTGGGATAAACAAACAAATCGGAAACCCAACCACTAAGAAAAGTAAAAAGATCTAAAGACCTAAGGAGCCGGATGGCTTTTAAAACCACCAAGCAGGTCCAGGTCCCACAAGCGCCTCCATGAGCTTATGCCAGGGCTGGATGTCCGCCGCCGGGTAGGGCTGCATTTCCATCTGGCAAAAATCGCACGGCGCACCCTTTGGCCCTTTGGCCCTTTGGGTCAAAAAATCTGTAAGTACCCCAAAGTGGGGGTCGCGCTGGTACATGGAAACAAGAACGAAAAAACGAGAACCTGCGGCCTGGGCTTAGTTTTGACCCAAACACACCTCGAGGTTCTGCAACCTGGTCTCACTGGCTAAAAAATAATAAAAACAACTGTATATTTACCACTTAAATGGTCATCCCAAAAAGTTTAAAGTTCATGAACTCAGGAAGTGAGTGGTGGGGCCAACAGCGCGTCGAACGCCCCCCGCCGCCTCGGGCCCACCGCGCCCGGCTCGCACCCGCCGCCCCGCGCCTGCGCCGCCGCCCGCAGTGCCGGCAACAGCTGCGAGGGCTCGCGGGCCATGGCCTCAAACGCATCGAAAGGACGGTCCCTGGATCAAGGCTCCCCCGCAATAGCCGTACATCCGGCCTTCTGTCTGCAACAAAGCCCACTTCAAGTCCACTGCAAAAGAATAGTTTCGCTTGAAAACTAGGGGAACCTAAAATGCATTGTGTAAGCAAATGGAAATGGGTAGCTGGGAGTATGCAGGTTTGAGTCTGTGGTTCCATTTCTATTTGCCAAGGTGCGAATTTGGTACATTCTTGTGAGGCACAGACATATCCGGGCAAGATCCCAAGCCAATTGTTGGAACGAAACTGAAACTGGCCGATTCGCCTGGAAAGGTTGATGAAGCAGTTGATCGAAAGACTTCATGCGGCCGCCAAAACTCTGCGGAGCATGCAAGAAAATGGCGAAAGGCCAAACGGTTGGAGAAGGGAACCGACAAAAAGCTCTTCCTTTGTGAGGGGAGGAAGCGTCTGATTTACACAGCTTCATGCCATCTTTGGCAGTCAGGCTTCTTTTTGCTTGAGTCCACTCGGGGAAAAATAAAAAAACGGTGGTGATCGATTCCCTTGAAGAAGCAGGGGAAAATAAAGATACCCTCTCCCCCACCAACATGGCACCTGACAACAGGCCCCTCCAACAGAAATACTGATCTTCCACGCTCCCTCGGGTGCCATTGCAACGTGGGAAGGTATTGAAAGCAGGCCAGTTGCACAGCCAATCGCCAACGGCTGGCGCAACTTGGCCATGGGTCAAAAACCCAATCGTACCCCCATCCCAATCTCTACTGAAATAGGTTTAAAATGGGTGGTGCACCAATCCCCCAACTGGGATCCCATTGGTTTAGACAACCACAGCCACTTCAATCCCTGCACCTAGGGCCCTAGGGCTTGGGCGCAGAAGCCTCTCCGATGCATCGCCTGCAAAAGGAGCCGCGCGTGGCATCTACGGCTCTCTGACAAACCTGGGCCGCCCGTGTTTTCTCTGATCTGCTAAAAAGTGAGGAACTTTTTGTGGGTTGAAGATGGAAACTGCCACTACAACTAAATCCCGTTGTAGTCAAAACATGCGCGCAAAATGCTCTCACCTCCATGTCAAAGTAAAAACCAGCGAGCAAAAAAGAACAAAGCTGTCCGTTGTCCGATCACTTGCTAAACATGACTAACTTGTTGTGACGGGTTAAATTCGGAAACTACCACTAAACCCGTACCTAAAAGCAACTAAACAGCTAAGTCGAAGCGGATGGCCTTGCCTCCGCTAGCTCCAGCTGATGGTTGTTCATCAGCAAAGGGTTCACCACCACCAGCAGGCGCCTCCCCAACCCCAAGCGGGAGGCGGCAAAAGCCCCCGCCGGCCAAGGCGGCCAATTTGCGCGTTTTCCCCGATTCGGTGTAGGATGTTGCTATACCTGGGTCTTCCAACATGTGCACAATTATTGCTGTTTTGTCAAAAACTATGTTTGTTGACCCAACGGCGGCTAGTTTCGCCTGCCGGCAGTTTTCAGTGTTTGCATACTCTAGCATCAATCAAAATTGCAGAACGGCGTAATTTGCCGTCAAAACGGCGTAATTTGCCGGTGAAACGGCGTTTTTTTGGCCTGGTCATGAGCTGGACTCACGGCGAGCGCTTTTTCTCCGAAAGAGCGTTTTTTTTTTTTGGTCAGCAACCGCAACATTTATGGCTGTTTTGGGAAACGGCGCTAATTTTACATGTCGGAAGGTCCAGGTATGTGCGCGTGTTATGCCGACAAATGGGTTAAAAAAGCAGGAACGAGGACATGCTCAGAAAACGGACAGGGCATGCGCGCCGAGGCCTAGTCCGCCCAGAACGCTACTCCCGTAACTTCAGTGAGGAACAACCGCAAGAAGCGCTCGCAGGCCCCTGGGCCGAATAAGCACAACCCCTTGTTGCGAGACAACCTCTGGTTGCCAACCCATCAAATTCAAAGAACACACCCTTTCTCAGGTGACATGGAAGCAACTATGGGTTACAATCCTAGGGATGACTAAAGCGTGCTGGCGCACCTATTCCGCAAAACTCAGGAACCTCGCCCACTTCTCCAACTTCCAGCGGGTCCAAGTATGGCCTTTGGGGGGGTTAAAAGGGGTCGTTCAGTACCTCCTTAGAAGATACGGAAGTCAATGAAAAAAATAAAACTCTGGGACTCATGGTCCCCAACACCCATTCTGGAAAACTCAGGACTTCCGGAAAACTCAAAACAAAACCACTCGCCCACTTCTCCAACCCAAACGGCTTCAGCTCCGAAGCCACCGCCGATTCGGGGCCTGCCGGCCCGCAGGGACTCGATCACGGAGCCCGCGCCCGCGTGGGAAATCACCAGCGCAGCCGCGGACATCTGGGAGCGGTCAGGGAGCGCGCGCGGTGGGCGCGCACGTCTCCGGCCAGTTCTCAGTTGCGAAATCTGCGGAGCCCGGCTAAAAGTGTCTAACTTTTAGTGGGTTAATACGGAAAACACCATGAGTTGGGTTGGCAAAAAGTTAAAGTCCTAACATCCATGCAAAATGCACGAAATAATTGACATGGAACCTGACCTTCCATATTTGGTTAAGACCCCTGGAAAAAATGAGAAAATAATTCCAGTAGTGATAGATTTCCTTTAAAACCAACAGGGGAAAATAAAACATGTTCTTAAGCAAATGGAAGTGACAGGGGCTCCCTTTGAAAGGAAAATGGTCTTCCAGCACCCCCCTGTCAGGTTCCACTTTATTTGGTGAGAGAGTACTTCCCAAAATACAGTGGATCATGAGAACCAAAGCGAACACTGCTGGCGCTTGGGAACATTGCGCTCAATGCGGCAGCTCAAAGCGATGAGCTTCTGTCAACTGACCATCCAAAACTGGGCATGTTGGTGCAGGCTATGCGGACCGAAGCCCCATCTGGGTATGTGTCGAAACGAGTTGACGCTCTTTGCACTCAGTCCAAAAGGAGCAAAAAGAAAACCAACCATTTGGAAGGGATCGTTTTGAGGCATCTGCGGGAACTACACGGCAGCCAATGACCTCGGAAGCGACACCGCGCTTCCCTTCACCGCGCTTCCAGTTTGACTGGCGAGCGTCAGGTTGGTCCGCCTCTGGCTTTCCACCAACAACTGCGGTTTGGTATGACCCAGTAGGCAGGCTGGCAAAAAAGCGATGCTAAACATCATACAAATCTGCAAATGTTCAACATAATCCAAAAAGCTGGATTACGGGATCCCCAAGTAAAGAACACCTTTGTCATGGCTTTCGCTCCTTATACCCCCGAAATCCTGAATCGGTGAGCTCGCTCTAAAACAGGCCGAGACATTGCACTGGGAACACTCCAGTCTGTAAACCACCAACCGCCTATTTTCTGGCAGCTATTTTATAGGAGAATAGAACGTTCTCTAAGTAAAATGGCAATGAACATCGGTTTCCCCAAGAGAAGGGGCCGAGAAATTGCACTGGGAATACTCCCCAAGAGAAGGGCGGATTCGCTCCCGCCTCGTCATCCAGGCTGGGCTTCAGGTCAAAGGACCTCGGCGCGCCCCCGGAAAGCTTCCCCCATGAGCCGCCAGTCATTGAGACTGAGCCAAAGGAGATGATAGGTTTAAGCCTTAATGTTCTGAAAATGATTGTGGAATAAAATGGGAATGGAATGGAATGGAATGGAATGGCCGGTGGGTTATTTGCAAACAGGGCAAACGGTAACCTGGACCAACTGAGCGCCTGGAGTGCGGAGGAACGTATTATAAACTCCTAGGTGTGCCACGCGCCCCGGTTCAGCCCGAAGAAACTCCGCGTGCAAGGTATTTGCGCTTGAAGTATGCGTGTGTTCCGCAGATGTCGACGTATTTCCCGCCGGCGGTTCCTCTCAAACCAATACAAAAGCGGAACAAATGCAACAAGCGAGCACTTGTCGCTTCCAAGAGGAGATGCCGAGCAGCCTGGAGTTCGGTGGACGCGAGGAATCCACCCTTTTCCGTCCCAAGGGCAAGGGCGTTGAAGCTAACGCAACTCCCTGTGAGCTGCGCGGCTGCTTGAATGTCGCACTAGAAACGCCAAGACCCCAGCGCAGCTGTTGGCTTGCCATCCCAAATCCAACGAACCCAGCCGCACGAATGCCCTAGGCACCCGTGCTCGCATTGCAAGATGGGCGGGTCTCTCTGGCTGAGCCTGCGGGCAAAACAAATGCCAGTGCCGGACGCACTGGCAAAGTCCTGGAGCCACTAGCCAAGATCAATAAGGCTAGTGATTTGGCTGTGGGTCAAAAATAGGTACCCGAAATGGAACCATGGACTACAACTTGCGGTTTTCCGGTGGTGTAATTTTGACCCATACTCATTCGGCCAAATGAGGAAACGTGGTTTTCTGGCAAGTGAATCCCTCTGTGCACACACCATTGCGCCCTCGGATTCTACATCACATTGATCAGCTGTCGGAAGCCTGGCTGAAGAAGCTGAAAGACGCAGATTTCAATCTGCCCTCCAGGAAGAAAGAATGCTGAAGCAGCATGCAGGCACGCAAGCCCACTAACTAGACGTGTGCGAGATTAGAGCTAGTCAAAACCGATGAAACTAGAAGTCCTGTCGGCTGGACAAGGTGACCACAGGAGTACAGGCATGGCCTCCAGCCAAAGAACAAATATCACACCAGCAAACTTTCATGCAAATGAACTAGTCAGGGCTCAGTGGTTCATATTAAGCATTGACACTTGAGACAAAAATGCCCTCCGGTCATCACAACGGGGATCAGCCTGACATCCTAATTCATGCGGTTTGAGCCCATTGATTCTTGGAGGGTTCTCCTAAGATCGGCCTCTGGATGGCACTGGAAGGGAAACCGAAAGGAGACCGCGCACTTGTAGAAGTCCCCCATTTTGGGAAACAATCGTATGGACGTGCGCGTGCCATGATCTCAACCTTGCACGAGTGGCAGAGGTTCCCTGCAAGGAGGTCACACCGGCCAATTTCATAAATTCCCGACTGCCGTGTTTGAAATGATAGGGGCGAAAGCCGACCCAAAATGGCCCTGGCCGCGTCCCTGTCAAGGCATTGCCAGACATCTTGGTCCAAAGAATGCTCTCCAACTGCCCAAGGCATGGCCACAGCTGCCGCGCCTGTAGCTGCCGCGCCCATGCTGCACTACCAGGCGTTGATAGCCCAAGGCTTTCGCCTTCCGTCCAACGTCTGGACTTTTAGACTCCCGACGTCCGACGCGGCAAATGCGGAGCCAGCAGATAAGGGTCAAGGACATGGGCTTTGGTCTTGGGCGACTTGAGTCTCCAGGGCTTCCCACCAATACTTCAACACCACTCCTACCAAACAAAATTTTAGCTTTGGGGCTCGTCCAGCGGAGGCATGTGGCAAAACCGGTCAGTACGCTCACATGTTTGAAGTCAGCGGCCCGTGATAAACCTCAAGATGGGGCACTTCTTGGGGACAAACACATCAGGGTTCCGCTCTGCGAACCCGGCTGCAGCAGCTTCGCTTGTTCGATGCCGATGCCGCTGCAACTTTGGCGAAACCGAAACCGAAGCCGAAACAGAAGCCAAGGATGATGGAACTTGCTTTCAAAAGGAGTTCTGTGCTTAGACCTTCCGAGAAAGTGGCCCTCACGCGGGTTCTCTGAACCTCTGATGTGAAGCGAGGAAAGCTCAAGACAAGCCTAGTCCTTGACCACTGGATATATTGAGGCCGCGATCTGTAGCCAGAACCTTTCCGAAAGTAGCCCTGTTGAAGAGACTACGCCAATAAATTGAACTTCAAGAGGCAGCTCCTTCAGATTTAGCAAGCCACGCCTGCGACACACACGCAAAAGCCCTGGGCCCCAACACAACCAACCACGCCACAGCTCGAAACAACACCACGGGCAAAGCATTTATTGCCTCACTGCCAGAACCATCGGCCCGTCCCCTCACCTCCTTCTGAAAATCTTCGGAGTCCACCTCCTTCACCAAATCCTCGAAGAGCGTTGTGCCCACGGTGACCTGTCAGGCGCGATGACGATTTCTCCCTCAGAACTCGCTTGGCCAGTGACCAGCCCAAAAAAAAAGAGTACACATTTCGGGCCACCGCTAAAATAAAAAGGTCATTTTTCCTGTCATTTTACCAAAATTTGGGCCACCACTATTGTACACAGGCACAATTTGCAAAAGAGAAAAGACCAGTCGCTATGGCTCTGTGGGGCGTGGCACGCGAAACTAAGTTTGCAGCAGCCTGAACCAACAGAGTCTAACAAGCAACCTGCAGCACATGTGGAACCGACAGGATCGTTCAACATAAAAGGTCGCAACAGGCTTGGGGAAAAACAAGTCAACCATGCACGCAAATGACCAAGAAATGGGCTTTGACTTCTCTGAATCGGCAGCCGCTGAAGAATTCCCTCCGGTGCAGGCACTTGTTGCTGGACCCAATGCGCAGTTGGAGAGTCCCTCAAATCTCCCTTTGGACCGGCAGCCGCAGATCGAATCGCTGAAGGTGAGAGAGTGGACAACAAAGCACTGCTTACTGTTGCTAAGCTAAGGCATGAACTTGAAGAATAGTGCATGTCATCGACTGGGGCGCACTGCACCAACTAGGCAGCCACCCTTTGTAGCGCATCCATGCATCGAACGCTCAGCTCCCAGCAACCAGAAAACGGTGGGGTCTCAATTGGGATTCCAGCACCACTAAATTTACCACACCATCAACGTTAGAAGCATCCGTTTCACACCCCTAGCATCGTTTAACACCCCTAGCATCACCGGCAGGTTTGCGGTGAGCTTAGGATTGGTCAGGTTGGGTTGAGGGTAGGCTAGGCTAGGTTCAGTTTAGGGGCTGTTTTAGGGCCCGTCACGGTGGGTTTAGGGCTTGCTTGCGGTTCGCTTCAGGTTGTTTTAGGGTGGGCTGAGGGTTTGTTAGGAGAGGGTTTAGGGTGGATTTGGAAAGGAGCTGCCATTTAAACCCTCATGCAAGACAAAACCCCAGCCCCGGCCCACCCACTCTCTAAAACTATTCCGTAACACGTCCCAATCCTTCGACCACTCCACTTGCTGGGTGTCCGGCAAAGATCATCGTATCAGAGCCAACGCGGCGATCTCTTATGCTCAGAGTGGACTAGCCAACAAAGTCAAACTATTTATTTATCACACATCTGGTCTTCCCAAAAAAGTGTTAAAGTCCATGAACCCAGGAAGCGAATACATCTTAGTTGATTTGGCAGCTGTGAACTCGCTGTGCTTCCTTGTTTTTTTCCAACTGATTGCGGGCAGCCTGCCATCTCTGTCCAGAACGTTCTCTGGGGCACTGTCGAATCCTTGGCGGATTCCAGGCACTGTTGGGGGGCAGCTTCAAAGGACCTTCCTCACCCACGCAGGAACAACCACAAACAAGAATGCCAAGGCTGCCCAGTGGTAATGGTCAATTCATGGTGAGTGACTGCGATTCCTGATGATAGTGACCTGCGTGTTACACCAGCATTTGAGCCACGAACCGGGCGTTGCCGCAGTTGCCACTCACACAGGGCAAAGCATTTCACATCCTCTTGGCCTTGTCATCAGGGATTTGGACTTGTGACGGAAATTGCGCCCTGCCCCAACCCACTTACAGTGGATGAGAAAAAGACTCTTCCACCTCCAAGCTCGATGCTCCAAAACTAGCTTACTGCGTGGGCTAGTAGGAGAGCAGGGTCCACTCAGATGCCCAGTGGCCATGGGAAAAAAAGGGCACCCTTTTTTGTTGCTTGAGTTTAAGGGGGAACCCTTACAAACAAAAAGGCAAAACGGGCACCACTGGGCAACAGAGACATAAAACCCCTTCTCAGAAACAAGCTGCCGGGAACACCCCACTCACCCGCCCGGACGCTTTGCCCACGCGGCATGCGGGAAGTCCCGCGACTTCCGAACGCCTACATCTCCAACTCAAGTGATCGAGGATCCAGGGTGCCGGGCATGGAAGTCTGAGCAGAGATCAAAGAAATATGTCAATGGATTCCAGCCACTAGAGTCCATGCAAGTCACCCTACCCCGCAGGTAACCAACTCACCCTGGGCCCTTGCAGTGCTGAACCTCTGTGCCTTTTTCTCCGCTGCTCGACACCGCAGCAGGAGCAGCTTGAGCTAGCCTGAGGTGCAACTGTAAAAGCAATAGCCAGCGTGCTGGGGCAACGAAGAAACTTTTGACCAAACAATGGGTCCAACTAAAAGCTCGAGGCAGATTCGCTTGGGGCAACTTAGCGCAACCAAAAACAAAATGGTCTGAAGCTCGGTCTTCCGAAGCCCAAGCTATATAAAATACACCGTCTGTGATTGGCGAACTCCGACCCTTCCCTGGCCACATCTTATGGGGAGACCTACATAACAAAGAAGAAACTTGCGCATCTTCCAAGGTGGTGCCTGTGCCAGTTCGACAAACAACTCGTTTCCGGCAAAGTGCATCTCCGACCAAACGGCAACTTCCCCCGGCGATTTCAACGACGCGCTGGCATGTGCTGGCGAGTTGCAAACGCGGTTGCCCGGATGAATGACAGAAACATGTGCCTTTCTTGCAAGCGGCACATCACTTGCACACCACGATTTGCAGTGACCCCAACCGGTTTCAAGCGCAGTCTCTGCTACGCGCATGAGGGGCATGTAGCGCAGCCTGACACCCGTTTCTTGGAACCCGTTTGAGCAACCCTGATGCAAGTCAGCTGACACAAAAAGAAGGGAAGGACGTGCGGAATTAGCAAAGGGCTGTGGCTCAAAACACCGGTACCCAAAATGGGTTGCCCTGGTAAGTGGAAACATGGACCAAAACCTGCGGTTTGCCCCTCCTGTTTAATTTTGAGCCACACCTAAAGAAGGCAATACCGCACAGAGAGCGAACGCGTATGACACAACCTTCGCCTCGTGCCTCAAGCGCCCTGCGATGCGCGAAACTTCTGCAAACTCTAGCAATCAATTTCGGCAAAACCTGGACGAAGGAACGGTCTCCAAAATGTCGTCGTGTCCATCCCAATAGTTGGTATCATGTTGGCGTCAGCTTCAAACACGCACAAAAGGGCCAAACACCAACCGAGCATCCATCGATCGCTTGTTGGGCTGCTCAAAACAGCATGTTACTTAGTGTTGTCTTCCACCGCCCCCCATCAATGCTAAGCGAAGCTGGATCTGGCTTTTAATTTAACGATCACTCCACTGGCCTCCCATTTCAACAGAAACTAAAGCAGGGTAGATTGATGAAGATAAAGCAGGTTGTTTCCTTGGCTCACCCCTTTGCCTTGGGCCTATGTAGCCCACTTGCCCAGTCTCTCCCTCTCCACCGTTGCATCCAGTCATGGTCCAGCAGCGCCAGGCAACGAAACAAAACAGCCCGGCCAGTGACCATCAGTATTGTCCCGGTAGAAACGGGGTACCGGTCCCTGGCTCCCTCACTCGCTCCGCGCCTGCTGCGCACCAGGAAGAAATTCCGCAGCTGCCACCACCGCACCACCTGCGCCTGGCCAAACCGCGGCGAAATTCGGCGCAAGAGGGCGGCATGGAACTCGCCGCTGCCATTGGCGTCTTCGCCCACTGGACAAATGCGAACATTTATTTGTCCAGTGATAGGTTCCCTTTAAAACCAATAAACATATATAAAAACCATATTAAGCAAATGGAAGGAAAAGGACATGCATCGAAACACAACATGTGCAATCAATGAAGTGGTCGGAACTTGTTTTAGCCTCGGGTGAGAGCGTGATAAAGTGCCAGCTTGAAAGGTCGATTGGCTCAAAAAGGAAAGGGTAGCCACGTTAAAGCAGTGATTTAATCAAAACACTGGTTCAACAACTATCACCAGCCCTTGACTGTCGAGGGCTAGAGATGCTTGGCACTTGAGCGTGCATTCAAGGACTTCGCAACTCAAGGCAGCCCACGACGTGGATGTTTTTTTCTCCAAAGGCTGTGTGAGCAACAAGTTTCATGCGCGCCCAATTGGAAACAGGCCCCTATCCTCCTGCAGATGGACCCCAGAGAAAACCCGTCATTTGCAGACAAACCTTTGCTGGCGGGTCCTCTTCAAGGTTCCACGGTAGTTTTCAGGGAAGTATGGTTCCAGTGTTGGCGATATCACCTGCATGTAATCTCTGACTGCGGAAACTTGGCAAGAGGCTTTTTCAGGTGGTCATCCAAGAAGGTCACCTTTTCAGACCTGCCTCAATATTGGGAACAAAGCCTTTGCTCTCTAAATTCAACACTTCACAGCTGTGTTGACCGTTGCATTTTATTTGCTTGTGGGTTAAATGGAAATTTATTGATTTCAACAATTAACAGTCAAAGTCGAAAGATCCATCCCGATAGCAATCAAGACAGCACACCGCTCCTCACGGCAACCTTTGTTTTGCACCTCTTTGCGCTCGTGCACGCCTTTGAGACTCGCGCCAGCACCAACTGCACCGCTCTCTTCTGGACCTCCTGGCGTTGCCGCAAACACCGGGCCACGGGGCAGGGTGCTACGTCGGGCACAGCCAGATGCAAAAAACCGCTACCCCATCCACATTCGACACTGAGTGCAAGCTTGCCTTCCCAACCAGCAATGTTGGCCAAAGATAGTTGCTGTAAAAAAACAGAAAAAAGAAGACCAATTCTTGCTAACGCTCCTCACTTCCAGTGGATGGCCCCAAAAAAGTCGCCCTCCCAAACTGTTTAAAGTCCATGAACTCAGGGGAGTGAGGCTCCTGCTTGCGGCGGTGCCAAAACCCCAAAAAACAACGTCTTCTCCGCGCCGGTTGTGGGCCGGAGGGGGGGGGGGGGGAAGGGGCGCGCCTCCTTCTTGTGCTCGGGGATGCGCTCTGGCAGCCGCTCCCTTGAGCCCTCCTGAACGACATTCAGAACCCATGGCCATTTGGCTGTGGCTCAAAAAACTGGAATACCAAAATGGGTTACCCTGGTAAGTGGAAACATGGACCAACACCTGCGGCTTGCCCCTCCTGCTTAATTTTGAGCCACACCCGTTTTAGACCCAGAGACCTGATTTCCACGAAGGGGTTCATGCCAGCTGACAACATGCTTGACTATATGCTTGAGGACAGGTTGTTTTGTCAGTTGAACGGAAGCCAGACGTGGAATTGCGGTGATTTGGGCAAAGGGACGGGAAAGCCCGCCCTTCTTTTGTACGTTTCCATATTTGAGTTATGTATTCCACTGGACCCCAAACTCCCCCCCCCAGGAATAGCAGGATCGAGCCCGCTTGAGGGATCCTGTGGCGCAGCACCTCCAACCCCCTAAGAAATGGGCAAGTGACTTTTGGTTTCCTGACAACCGCCAAAAGGGGTACCCACAAAAAAAGACACGCTTAAATGGGTCCCCAGACCAAAAATCCATGTAAGAGTTGTCATGGGCTGGATGCTTCTGCGTGCTTTCCTACGGCACGTGCCCCCCTCCAACAAGCTGAGCCAACCCGGAAAAAGTTGGACAGCGATTTGTTGTTGTGGGCTTTCAGCCAGGCAGTGCATGAAGACGATGCCAACCAATTGATGACTAGCAATGCCGCAGATGGAATATTTCTGGTGTCCGAATGCCTTCACAGTACGTAACAAATGCTTTTGCCGTAGGATGGCGTGGATCATCGACTGTATAGCGATGCGCCAACAACTCGCCCCCAAAAACAAGCGTTCCCGAACAGAAATGCCCTTACAGCCGAGCTTGCAGCACATCAAACTGCACCAACTCCAAAGCCTTAAGGCGGCGAGCTGGTTTTGCCCTGCGCCAGTTGGGTGAAACATCCATCAACTCCTCAAATAAGGGTTGCTATGGCTTTCTGTGGGTGCCGATTCCTATTTTCCGAACAGAAATGCCCCGTATGTATTTGTCCCCCTATCCTGGCCAGGGAAGCAGGATCGAGCTGATGATGGTTCGAGCTGAAAGGCAAACCGTGAGCCCCAGCCCATCAACCCCGCGACTCGCCTTGACGGCAGACCGGTTCATGAATCGCCCTAGCTCGCGGCTGCGTTCCACCTGGCAAAACGCAGTTGACGGATCGAGAACGTCGGGGAGAAGATGCATATCTGCGATGGGTAGGGAATGACAGAGTCAGGGTTTTGGGAATGAACCGTTTCGGGATTCCCGAACAAAGGAAATCAAATCGGGCATGGTTCTTCTCGGGGTCATTCCAACATATTCCAACTCATTTCCTGCCTATCCCGCCCGTGCAGAAAGGGCCTGCGCTGAGCCTTTGTATTTCCATGCTTGTTGCTTCGAGGGAAATTGTCCCTCAACGCCCGTCGTTAGCCCAAGAGCAACCAGGCTGGGCTGCACAAGATTACACATATGTATATTTTTGTTTGTATATAAACATGTACATTATGTATGCAAGTACGGACGGACAGACAGACAGACAGACCGACAAACGGACAGACAAATATCTGTACGTGAAGGTATGATACACACACATATACATACATATACATACATATACATATATATATATATACATATGTATCTCTAAATATGCAGATATGCTTATATATACAGATATGTTTATACATCGATGTGTGTGTGTGTGTGCGTGCGTGCGCGTCTGAAGTTCCGGCCGGTGGACAAATGTATGCATGTGTATGCATGGACAAACCTGGAAACATGCGCACATGGCTGTGTCTTGAATTGTGTTTGTGGGGCCACTTTACGGGAAACTAAAGTTAGACCACCAATTGCGCCCCAAGAAGGGAAAACCTTCTAGTGAAATGCCAGCAACACTAATGTTTTCGTTAGTTTGCAAAAGCCATCTGAGCAGTGCCAGGGTTCTGTGTGTCAACCTTCTGGGCAGTGGACCCGTTGCACCTAGTCGCCTCAGTCTGTTGCTCAGGCAAGTTGCAAAGGAAGTGCAGGCGAAGATGGCATCAATACGGAAAGACAAGGGGAAATCAAACAATGATGAAGAAATTGTCTTGCATGTGCTGCAACACTTCGGCATTGCGAGTTCACATAACTAGACCAGTCGACTGAGAAAGCAACACCAAGAGCAGCGCGCGTCGAGTGGGTTGCCGCCTAAAGAAGCTCAAAATTGAATCTCTTGCTTTCTTTTAAACAACGCGTATCAAGTCTAGAAAAACTGCTAAAGTGGACCGATCCAACGCGTATCCACCAGCCGGAAGCTGACGTTCGGGTCCTGGTTGAAATCTTCCTCCCGCCTCCGTGTCACCTCGCGGCCGCCACATCCACAGCACCCTCTCTTGCCGCAGAGGCGAGGACAGTAGCAGCCTTGGAGCGCGACGAATCTTGCGCCGTCCAGCGCGGATCGATGGCCCTTTGGGGGGGCTCTTGGTCACCTCCACAAAAAGACATCCTGCACTGCTGAGAGGCTTTGTGTTCACTCTGGCTAGGCATGCACTGCCCCTTCCAAAGAAATAAACGAGATGAAAATGTGCAAGCCTGCGCGCGCGTAAGGGCCGCCAAGGTCATGAAATGAATGGAAATCCCACACTGATGCCCACATGCCCAGAGCAGGCAGACAGGCCGCAGGGCCAATGCCCTGTTTTGCGGGGCCCGGAAAAGGCGGCTAGTCCATGCACAGATCTCAGTCAGCCCTCACTTGCGCAAGATTTTCTTGGACTGAATCGTGGTTTCAAGGCGCCTCCGGCAAAAAATGAGGCCCACCTCCCCAAGATCCTCCAATGCCAGCTGGCCCCCAACTTCCATGAACTCATTTCCGGACTTGTGACTACCTTGTGGGTTCATTTTCGGACACCCAACCACTAGACCAACTAAACACCTCTCAGTCTACATCCCCCGGTAGAAGTTTAGAATAAGGGTACCAACTTTTTCCGTAGTCTATGTTAGTAGGGGAACCCTCCCAACCAAAAAAGGGGTGAGAGGTCGGGCACCAATTGCTGGGGGACCTAGCTGTTGAGCCGGCCAAGTCCCTGGCCGATTGGCGTCCGCGAGCGCCAGGCCGCTGCGGCGCCAGAAGCTTTCCGCTGAGGCCACCTGACGAGTCGCTGGCGGCGCCCCGTTTTTGGCGAGGACCGAAAGGTGTGAGGCAGGGGATCCTGAGCGGGAGCTAAGTCATGGGGCAGGACCTTGTAGGTGTGAGTCATGAAGCACAGTGCGTGGATTAACCAGACCGAAAGGCAGGACCTAATACCTGGTGGACGTTGGAAGGGGATCAACAAAAAAATAAAATTGTAGCAGTGAAGTGGGGATTTCAACCACTATATAAGCCACAATAAGCAAAAATGTAGAGTGTGTCCGAAGAACCATGAAGAATAGGAGTGAGTCACGAGGCAGGGAGTCTGGAGGCACACCAGGCTTTGAGAACCTCTAAGTGAAAAAACAGAAGTAGACAAGGATAGAAGCGAGGAGTAGCCTGAAGTCATTGCAAAGCTCCCAGAAAAACAAGAAGCATGTGTAGCACAGGTCAGTGTCGCCCGGTGAAACTTCCCTCCCCGGTAGGTCACCATATGTCACCATGTTCCCGCATGAAAGCGAGAATTTGCTTCAATCAACTTACTGCGGGCGGTCCCCCCAGAACGGGGGGGGGGAACAAGACGGCGCAAGAGAACCAACACACCAGTGGATGAGGGAACTCGATTCAAGCCACCACAAGACTGGTCGGAATTGAAATCCACGAGCATGGCTGCCCGCAAATCCTCAAGCTCAGACCTACAAACTGCACGAGCTTGACTGGTTTTGCCTCCGAACGAAGCCTGACAGGCTTTCCCTCTGACCCTAGCCCAAAAACACGTGGTGCGGACAAACCACCCTTCCCGCCCGTCCGTCCCCTGGGAGCCCGGGCCACGTTGACATTGCCCTCGTCCACCAAATCCTCGTAGGAGGCAAGTTCCGCAACCGCGGCCACGAGGTCTGTGCTCCTGGGATGGCGTGAGGTGACGCTTGTCATGTTGGCTGGCTCTAAAGGGCTCACCTTCCACTACAACTTTCTGGGCGATAGGCACATTTGGAGAAAAACATGATATTTTCCACTAAATGGAAAAGCTACCCATGGTCATTTGGAGGCCGTTTTCTGGAATATTGCTCACCGGCAATTGCTCACGACTGACCGCATCCAACCCTGCACCCGCCCCAGGGCGCTCCGAGCGCCCGCGAAAAACCGACGGCCGGCCTCACAGCGCTCTCCGCGCTCTCGAGCACCTCGGCGACAAGCTGGTTTCGGGGGCCGCTGGGTCCAGGTTGGGCGGCTGATCACCTGGAAGATGTTCCAAGTTGTACCAAAATTTGCCAAAAAAAGAAACCGGTAATTTCGGACAACTTTACAAAACAAATACTGATGTTATACCAAAAGAAAGAAAATGCTACTCGGACAGTATCAGACCTGGTCGGGCCATCAAAGTTAGGGCGGTTCAAGACCCCCAGGTGCCGGTACTGCTCACACCGCGCAGTGGAGACCACAACAAGTCCGGCTATACCAATATTTGAATACCAAAAGAGGGGGATTTGGGTCAAGGTTTGGTCCCGTCGATGTTCAAAAAATCATGTTCCCACTCATGCAATCGTTCATGTGCGTAGCCCTGCTGCAGAGGGATTCTGGATGCCAAGCCGCCAAATGCTTGATTTCCAACAAAGAACCAACCTAACTTCAGAGTATTAACTTCATAAGTTGTAGATTATGCTTGAGTTTTAACTTCGGAATCTTGGAAATTCAGATATGTGATAATCTACAACTTTGTTATTTGTACTTTATAGAATCTTGTGGTTATCTGAAAAAGGCCGCGCAAGTCCACTTCCGTGATTGTGGGAGCCAGAGCGATGGCAGTGCAATGGTAAAACCCACAGAATTTGGATATCCTTCGGCCCCCACTTCAAAGGCAGCGCAGCATGAGGGCATCTTTCCTTGGTTGACCTTGGAAGGGGAGCATTCTCAAATTGTGGCGATTAAGTGGTTGGATTCCAACCACTAGACCACAATAAGCAAAAATAAGCAAAATGTTTCCCAACAACAACAAAGTTTGGTTGAGACCCCTGAACAAAATGATTGAAAATCATTCCAGTAGTGATAGATTCCCTTTAAAACCAACAACGACTATCTTTCTGGCCAATGGTTTCTACCAATGAGTTGCTGGACAGGCGCTGTCCGGTACAAGTGACAGTTTTCTGGTGGCCATCTGAATCTGCCTTGGCCAGCATCGAACGGCACAAGTTGAGAACCGACAACGCTAAATCCTCAGCATGTCACAACCCAACAAACAACAAACCATATTCTTCGCAAGCCAGCCATGCACGGATTCTTCTGTTTGGTTAAGGCCCCAGGAGGAGAAAACAAATACTGTAGTGATGAATTCCTTTTAAAACCAGCAAGGGAAAATAAAACATATTCTTAAGCAAATGGAGGGATTCCTCTACCTCTATCCACTGATGCCTGAAACAAGCTCCTTTCCTGGGACGCGCCTCCTTCCACAGCCGCTTGTGCTGCGGCAGGAAGCAGAGCTGTTTGAGGTAGTGGCCTGAGTCGCAGAGATGAAAATCCGTGTTTCAAATGGCTGTGGTGGTCAAAAATAGGTTGCCAGGGTGCCTTCTCACCGAATTCTAGCGCTTCAATTCTTTGATTTCCCTAAGGTTGCCATGGCAACTTAGCAGCTACTACCATATGGCTGTGGGTCAAAAATAGGTACCCAAAATGGAACCCTGGTGAATGGAGCAAAAGACTGATGCCTGCAGTCCGATTCCTGGTGGCTTAATTTTGACCCACAAATAACAACACCTGCCCGGCCCAACAAAAGGATCAGATTCAAATCAAATGGGCGGCTCGCTCGGCTTTTTTTCGGCTACCCTTTTTGGCGGTTGCCATGAAAGGGGAGAAGGGAAGCCACCCAGGTTCCCCTCCTAAGAGACATGCCTAGAGCCAAACTCATCGCAGGCCTGTGCCTCCCCGCGTTTTGCCTCGTGCAGCACCAGCTGGCCCAGCTTCAAGTGCACCTCCGATGGCCAGTCTGTGCGAGCTGTGGCCTTGAAAATAATCCTCTGGGGCTCATTGCAAGAAGTGAGGGGAGGGACCAGGCCTTAGTGTCTCCGCGAGGTGAAGTCCAGATTCACAGTATCTAGCCACAAAGTATGAATAGCTAGACGGGAACTCAAAAACTCAACCCTTCGTAACCTCGTCAACCGCGAAAACACAACTTCGAAAATGAACTCGGCAACATCTACCTTAACCTCTGCGCACGTTGCCCGTGAACTTTCAGGGAATTCAAACGACCTAGGCAACTTGGCCTTCATTGTAACATGTGGCTGTGGCTCAAAAAACCGGTGCCAAAATGGAACCCTGGTAAGTGGACGCATGGACCAAAACCTGCGTAACCCCTCCTGTTTAATTTTGAGCCACACCCATGTCCAGTCTCGGCTTGTTTCTGTCTGTCTGGTGCTTTGCTCTAACGTTTGCTTTGATTTGTGGCGCCTCGGGTGCCAAGAGCCGAGCCACCAAAGCACAGCACAGGCAAAGCAACCCGGCAATTGCTTGCCGCTACAGCGACGCAAAACGAGCAGGTCAAACCAAACACGAACACAAGCAAAGCAAGCAAAGAAAGGCAAGGCAAGGCAAGCAAGACCAAGAAAGGCAAACAAACAAGGAGAGCAAACAAAGCTCAACAAAGCAATGCAAAGCAATCAAATCAAGAGAAAAGCCAGCAAGCAAGCAAGAAAGCAAGCAAGCAAAAGCCAAGGCCTTTGCAAAGGCCAAGGCAAAGCAAAGCAGCAACCACCACCCATGCATCACCGCCAAGGATCACAGGCAAAAGCAGGGCTGTGCGGAATGACCACTTCTGTGATACAACAGAAAGGGCTTTCCAAAGACTAATTTGATCATAGAAACGGGCATTCCCTTGTATCACAGAAGTAGGAAGAAGCCCCACCCCTGCCTAGGTGTGATGTGGCACCTAATACTTGGTGGACGTTGAAAGGGGAGTTAACAAAAAACAATTGTAGCAGTTAAGTGGTTGGACTTGAACCACTAAACCACAATAAGCAAAGATGTAACATGCTTCCCTACAACTATAAAGAATAGGAGTGAGTCATGAGGCAGGGAGTCTGGAGGCACGCCAGACTTTGAGAACCTCCAAGTGAAAAAAAAACAGAAGTATCACCCCCGAGCAAAAGTATCACAACAGCCGAAGGCGCCTCCGCGCTCCTCTTCTGGGGTCCTTTGGCTGGCGTCAGCTGCTGAAACGGCAGCTTCTGCCAGAGCTGGCCGAAGGGGCCCTGCTCCTTGCGCCGAATGGATATGTGCTTTGGTTGGCAGCCTACATTTCATACCGCGACGCGCGATCGCGCTCGCTCTCTCCTTTTGAAGCTGTGGGTGAAAGCCCTCAGTCTTGGATGGTTTTGCCAATGTTCAGTCTTTGAGCGTGAAGACTGAGGCAACTCATCGCAAGTCACTCACACCAAGGGGTGGAAGGATGCCCTTTCCCCCCTTCAGTACCTTGGGCGGGATGGTGGGTGCAAAACAGAAAAAGGAGATGAAATGCTTGTGCCAAAATGGCCACATCGGCCGCTTTCCTTAGCAAACATCCACCTCAGTACCTGCGGCACAGACAGTGGATATGTGCTTTGGTTGGCAGCCTACATTTCATACCGCGACGCGCGATCGCGCTCGCTCTCTCCTTTTGAAGCTGTGGGTGAAAGCCCTCAGTCTTGGATGGTTTTGCCAATGTTCAGTCTTTGAGCGTGAAGACTGAGGCAACTCATCGCAAGTCACTCACACCAAGGGGTGGAAGGATGCCCTTTCCCATTGCAGGTTGTGGGCCTTCTTTTCCCCTTGTGTGTAGACGCACTCAAACTGACGAGTGGAATCAGCTGTCAAAAAACCACATTGGGAGGCCTGCTTGCGGCGTAGACAAGCAGTCAACAGCGGGTTGCGTGTAGTGAGCCCCCCAACTTTGCAACTGCTGGAAGTCCAGCCTTGACGGGCCGTCCGCTAGGTTGGACTTACTTTCGACTCTTTCTATGTACATAGAAACTTGCGAGCGAGCTGCATGCAACCAGTAATGGCCTATCAGTGGGCTGCTATCAGCCTTGGGGCTGTACCCTCTGACTAGCCCCGCGGCAGCACTGTCATTGTCGACAAAATGGATGACCTGCCTACCTCGCAACTTGTTGTGCCACGTGGAGACCGCTACAGGTCCTGCCATCACCTCCAATTGCCCCATGTAATTTGCCCGAGGCAGCCAGTTGGCTACCACAACGTCAGGCACTGCCAAGAAGGTATACTGAAACAAGGGGCTGTCCAGATCATACAAAACGGCACCCAGCACAAAACGGGGCTCTCGTTCTGGTACGTCCGAAGCATCAGTGTAAAGCAGGACTGGTTTGCGGCTATGACCAAATGACACTTTACGGGGTGGAGTTTCGGTCACGAACAACTTCATCAAATGCAAACTGGTGATTAGCACAGGGTTCAAGCTCACATCCTCCGACGTTGAATACTGCCGGACGCGAAGCTCCTGTGCAGCACCGCCCAGCTTTTCCAAACAATGTGGAACACAGGAACCCAAACTTCCCCACCAGACTAGCTGCTAAACTGGGGGGAAGGGTGCCCTTGTCCAACACTGCATCAATCAAGTTGCAAAAGTTGGTAATACGCCCCGGCTTAGCTTGTACAAGCAAAAACTTTTGCTCCCTCAGCGAACGAAGGTTGAAAAGCACACCAAGAACGGAAGCGACTTCTGCTGGAACCTGCGATTTTTCTGGGTCCAACTCCCAGCCTAAAAGCCGGAAACCCTCCTGCACGCAAAACGCAGCAAAAGATGACTCTTCCGTTCGGGTGATCCAAAAGAAATCGTCAAAGAAATGGTCTAAGAGCAAGGAAAAGCACCTGACGAGGAACCGACACATCCATTCTGCAACCCTGTAAAAATTTGGCACGGCGTGAGCAGCCCCAAACGGCTGCCCAAACATTTCATGTAGGGAAGCTGACCGAGTGTATGGGTTGTACACTGCAGTAATGGCAAGGAGTATTTGGCTGTCAAGAAGAGGCACTTGCCTATAAGCGCCTTTCAGGTCTTCCGTGGCAAGCATCAGAGACCCCGCAGACACTTCGGCCAACGCCTTTACCAGAACAGCCAAATAATCTACTCCTGCTATTTGGATTTTTTGCTTGCGGCCGGCAGCACTGTTGTTTAAAGCAGCAGAATGGTCGTCAATCCTTCGGTACTTGGGGTGCCCCTGATCATCTACTCCCTGCTCAAGACCAAAACTTGGAACCACGTTAAAAAACGGACCGTGTTTGTTGCTTAGCTGGTCCAAAGTCATCGGGGGCCCCATGGTGCCTTTTTTTACTTCTTTGTCAGTCTTCTCCCAAATGGCCCACGCCAACTTGTCAGAGCTCTTCTCTGCCATAAAGCAAACCCTGCGCAGCGTCTGGCTTCTGCGTTTGGCTGCCGAACTAAGCAGGACTCTGATTGAAGTTGGGGCAGGCACTTCGTAGGGTTCAAAGAAAGGCGATTCCAGCGCTGGCCCCACAATTGGCATTCCTGACAAACACAGCTGGGGAACTGCTGTGTCTTCAATCTGCAAGGCTTGCCCAATCTTTGTCATGAGCGCTGTTCTCGGTTTGCGCCCCAAGCGCTTTGCCGACTCAGAAGCTCGGGCGTCATGCTCGGCTTGGAGAGCCGAAACTTCGCTGCAGAGACTCAAGTTTTTTAGCCAGGCCAAGCACTTGAGTCGTTTGGCAGAATCCGCTTCTGGCGACCGAGAAAGCTTGCCCAAAACGTTTTGGTGGTCTTCCTTCAAAACTTGGGTGTTGTTGAAAGGGTGGTCCAATTTGCTGGCTGCTCGCAAGTGTGCCATGGGATCCTTCAACCCATCAGGAATGAGCTGCTTCCTTTTGCCAAAGGAAGGCTGCTTGTCAGAAGCGACGCATGCCCTTCGATTGTGAAAAAACTCAGCTTCCTGCGTCACTTGGCTTGAGGATTTGAATGGCGCACATGTCTCCACTAAAGCATCGGACAAGGACTGCAGCTCAGTCTTGACGCCTCTGCTTTCTTTTGGAAGGGGCTTGCCTGGGACCGGAACACCAAAAGCCTCACCAACCTTCTGACTGAGGGGCGCGTTTGGGCCAGAGAAGACTTCCAAGAAAGAAGACACCTTTGCCCGCGCTTGCCACACCGCTTGCGCGTAGGTGGCGCAAAACCCGGCAGGGTGCTCCCACTCTTCGCGTGTAGCGAAGGACTGGACCTTTCCCCCGGAAACGGTGGGTTTCCATTTTAAGTGAGGAAGCCCCGTCCTATCACACACCGACCCCCGCTTGCAGGCCAAATCCATGCTGTCCGCAAGTTCGGGAAGGTTGGTGATGAAAACTTGAAACTTCTTCCTTCTGCTGCCGTGAAACATGCAAGTGTGAAACTTAACGACAAAGACACCCGGCTCTGAAATCAGCTCTTTCCACTCAGGCAAATGGAGGGCAATGGAATTTCCAGGATGCTCCAGGCTGAAGAACTTGCCAGCCTTGTGAGCTCTCTTTGCCCGCATGGCTGACAAACAAGCCATGTCTGTGTCCTGGTTGAAACGCTTTACAGATCGCTTTGACATCTTGGAGATTTCACATGGTATCCCTTTTGGGTGCTCCGAACTGCGAATGGGCTTCGGGGCAATTTTGACACCTTTTATCGGTATCTCCCGCGCCCTCGAAAAGGTTGCGCTATTTGGAGCGAAGTGCATCAAGTCCGACTCTGAGGCTTCTTGGCTCAACTTGTCTTGTTCTACCAAAGCATCCCTTCCTCTCAAAATATCCCACGGCTCCCAAACTTTAAATCCACGACCCCCTGCCCCTCCGTTGCACGTGTGGCCGTTTTCCGCAGGCTGAGGCGCAGCCGTTGGAAGGCCGAGTCCCTATGGCTTGGGCCTGCTCTTCGCAGCCCTCTCAACCTTTTTCTTGTCCCTCTGGCCCTTGCGGAAGCCTTCGGGCAAAGGGCAGAGCGGGAGGTGTTTCTTCTTGCACACCAGGCAAGTCTTTTTTGGACGCTCAGCTGGACCGGTCTCAGCTGGCTCATCCGCAGCCCGTTTCTTGCCTGGCGCTCTGGTCTCCTCAGTGATCTTCTTGTCTGCCCGTTCGACGCCTTGGTCGGGAAGCGAACTAACCACCGGATCCAAGAGCTTCCACAGCGCCATCTCAGGGTGAGTCAGGTAGTAGCGGATGGCGTCGGTGAGGTTGCCCATGCCACGCGAAAGCCAGCGAAGAACTTCTTGGTGAAGCTGGCGATCAAATCGACGAATCTCATTGACAGTTGGGGCCCGCATTCCGCCCGGAACCACCGCCAAGATCTTTGAGATGTAGCACTCCGTCAGCCTCTTATACACGGCATACTCTGCAACGCCAATCATAGACATGCATCGAGCTCGAATTTCCAGGTACTTCCTCATGGTCTCCAAGTTGTCCGCCTCCGTGACCTGCGGATCGGGTTCCTCGCCTGACTTGAGCTGCAACTTCGTGTCCTCGCCTATGACTAACTCGTTCGCAGCCTTGGGCATCTTTCCCTGCCTGGTCAAGCGGTCCTCTTCATCAATGGGGATGAAGCACTCCCAGGCCAAATAGTCGTAGGTCGCACCTGGAGGCACCAAGGCTCGCTGAGCCTTTGTCAAGGACCACAAAGCTGGTCTTTCAGCATCGCTCATTGGCTGCGGCATGCCCAACTCCAAGGCCTTCCGCTCCATCTCCAGCGAGTTCTGGATGCCGACCCGGGTTCTTGGGGCACCCTCGGACCCCGCCGCCAAAGACTCCATCTCCTTGCGGCACACCTCCTTGGACAGCGACCACAGCTTCCTCAATGCTGCGGCGTCCTCGCTCATCTTGAAAGTCTTCCAGTCAACCTTCTCCTCGCGGTCAAACACCAACAGCCTTCCTGAAACTTCTCTGAAAGAAGACTTTTTCGCAACCACTTCTTTGAGAAACTCCTCAAAGTCCTCCGCCTTGGGGAACCTGTAGCCCAAGGCCTCAAAGGTTGTGATCTTGTGCGCGTTGCACAGAAGGAAGTCGCTCTCCGCGACGCTGAACTTTATCGCTGCTTTCGTAAAGGCAACCGGCAAGGTCGCGTTGGTCGACATCCGGCCTCTTCTTAGCAGCAACTAAGGACTACGTCACAGGTGGGCTGATCTCGCAAAACGGCCGGCCAGGAAACAGAATACATCAAATCTGCCCGTCATGTCACTCAAACGTGACGGCCCCGTGATTTGCGGCGCCTCATCAACCATCTGGCTGATAAGGTGTCACTGCTCGGCTCCTGTTCCTTGAACAAGGTAACTGCCTTGCCGTTGGCTCAAATCTGGTAACCAAGAAATCCGCAGTTTGCTGAACCCGAGACAACAACTGGCTAGCACTTTCGAGGCCTTCAGATTTGCAAGCAAAGCGCATTCGCTCTTCCAAGCGCTGCTCAGTTCTCACTCATTGGGTTTGGTTAGAAATCATGAATTCGGCAGAAATGGCTCTCTTCGGGGCCATGGGCGCACTTTGCGCATCGGCCTGTGCACCTGTGAGCTTTGCCTCGGACTGTCTTTGTCTTGGAACAAAGCCCTTGGCATCCGTCAAGCCGCTGGCCCTCGCCCAAAAAACACCGAGCGCACAGCTTGACATCGGACTCCAAGTTCTCGTCCGCTGATACTCTTGCGTATTGGTGTAATCCCACCCCACACTTTGGCGAGAGGCTTCTTAGGTCCCCCTCAGATGTCGAGGCTGGCAAGTGTAGACGGGAAGCCTTGGACGAGTGCTGAAGCATGACAAAGTGCGGAACGAACACGCCCTCTGCCTCACCGTCATCGTCAGAGCACGTTGCGTCCTCAGCCTCAGGCACGTAGTCCAAGATGCTGTCCAAGCCGGGCGAGTGCGCCTCATGAAGTGGCGGTTGGTCGTCTTCAAGCATCTCCACGAGCTTCTTCTTGTCCAGCTGCGCCGACTCCTCCCTTTCAATCACTTTAAAGTCCGGTAGGCCATCCTTCATGTCAGACTCCAGAAACTCTGCTGGGACCTCATGCATGCCGACATTGGCTGCCTTGGCGGCGCAGACGTCAGCAACCTTTGACGCCAACACGGGGCTTTGGAAAGGCTCTTCTCCAGGTTTGACCCTCTCTCCTTCAAACGTTCCCAAGTTGCCGCCGCTCCTTACGAAGTTGAGGACTTGCTCTTGAGCTTCCATGATGATGACCTGTGCTTCTCTGAGGTACACATCGGACATGCCCTCGTTCTTGTCTTTCCAACCGCCTGAAAAGCGAACAGCTTTGGGTGAGATACCTAAGTGCTGCATGAAAGTGACAAAAGTTGGCTTTGCCGAATGCCATCGGAGACGCTCGACCTCTTCTCCGGTAAGTCCGACGTTTCGCCCGCTCTCAAGCAGTCCCGAAAGACTTCTCTTGAGGAAGGCCACGTCGTCACCCAGATTCGGCGGTTCGTCAGAGAAGGAGTTGAAAGCTTTATTGGGCCTTCGGCCGAAATGATCATGCTTCCTCCAAGCCGGCCCATGTGCTGCCAGGGACAGCTCCATGAGTTTAGCAAGCCACCCGTCGAACTGCGGTTGTGTGGCCAGGGCAGTCGCGACCCAAGCTCGGGCCCCTGACTTTCCTTTGGTGGCCCGGGATCGGATGCCTGAAACGTAAATGCTCCCTTTCTTCCTGATCCACTCGCAATCTTGGATAGGGGTGTTCAGGAGATCATCATATCGGATTGAAGCTTGGACGCACAATCTCAGCTTTCCTGCCGTAACCCTCAAGGGGGCGCCAAGTTCTTCGTCAAGAATCATGCTTTCGAGGAAAGTCAGGAACTCCACAGGGAAAGCTGGCGCTCGGTTTGGGTGAGTCTCGTTTACCTTCCAGTAAACGTCAGCCAGCCGCTTGCACCGCTTCCATCTGGTGGTATCCACCTCGAAGCCAAACGCTTTTGAAAAAAAGTCGACGGCGTACAAGAGAGTCAGAGGCGTCCTCACTCCCACTTCGCGGTGGACCAACTCTTCCAGGAACCTGAGCACCTCCAAGTCCTCTAAGAAGTTGCCACGCAGCCCCACGTTCATTTCCACCTTGACACCCTCGTGCCAGTCAACCAGCCTCTGCAACAGCCTCGCGTGCCTGAGCCCTGTGCTGGCGCGAAAGGGCATGGTGTGTAGAAGGAAGGTGTCTCCATCCAGGGTTCCTCCATCACCTAGAATGTCTCGCAAGTCCATCTTGACGCCTATAGTTTCCAAGTAGAGGAAGAGCTCCTTAGCCCTGCCACCGTACTCCTTGAGGTTAGCAGCCTCTTTAGCTTCCAACGGGCCACCATGGCGAGAAGCGACGCGCTTAGGGAGGCAAGTTGTGCGCTCTTCCTTTCCTTCAGGAAGCACAAAGTTGTGCGAGGGGGGCTTGGCGCTCTTAGTGAAAGCCAACTCAGAGAACTCCTCTGCAAGGCCCGTCTTTTGCTCAAACCTCCAGGGTTTCACCGTGAGGTCCTGGGCGGAGCTGCTCGGCGGCTTTGCCGGCTTGCCCCAACCCAAAGCAGAAGACTCCTCACTTCGCGCCCAGGCCGGGAGGCCGAGGTCTGACTGCGAACTAGGCACAGAACTGCTGGAAGGAAGCTTGGCCCACTCAGGTTTCTCACTCTCTAGCCCAACGCCACAGCCTCTGTCAGCCCAAGCCGGAAGAGGATCCATTCCTGCCGGTCGAGCGGGGGCCGAAACCTCACCTTCCGACTGCTCTTCATCAAGGTCAAAGTGCACCGGTGGGGGAGCCAAAGGTTCATTGCCTTCTTGGCCACTCCGCACAAGCCTCACCACCTCCAAAGGATCAGCCCTTGCTTCGAGGAGCCGGGCCAGTTCGAACCGGGCTCCCCAAGCTCCGATGGCACCAAGCCCTCCGGTCCTTCCAAGCTCCAGCCTAGTTCTCTTTCCAGTGCTGGGACCAGGATCTGGAGCCCTCTTCATGTACTCTCCCTATGTGTTGGTGATTGCAAAACAGAAAAAGGAGATGAAATGCTTGTGCCAAAATGGCCACATCGGCCGCTTTCCTTAGCAAACATCCACCTCAGTACCTGCGGCACAGACAGTGGCGAATCCTTTGCGGAGAGCCAAAACGAAAGCCCTATCTTCCAGTTGCTGGAGTCCACTGAAGAAAAAAGAACATCCAGTAGAGATAGATTGGCTTTACCTTTTCAAGGAAAATTGCCCATCCCTCAGTCAGGTTACATGTTGGTGGATGGGAGTGTATCTTCTGTGTGCTCTCACAGCTTTGACTAGGTCTGAGGCAACGACGCCAGCTAGCGAACGCCACTGCCATTTGCGAATACGTTCACTGCGGGAACCAAAAAGAAGAAGACAAGAGATAAAACAAATGTGTCCAGTAGTGATAGAGCCCCTTTAAAACCAACATGGGACAATTAGAACACGTGCTGAAAAGCAAATGGAAGCCCATTTGCAAGCCACCAGCCATGCAAACGAGTCCCAGCTTTGACACAATGCAAACCTACCTGAAGGGAAAGGGGGGGATGTGATCAAGGTCACCCGAGTTTGTTGTATCCAGGCTCACCGCAAAAGCGAGAATGGATCCGAACATGGAATTGCATGGGTCACCCCTTCGATGCCATCTTCAGGTGGGGGATGCAGGTGCACTTGGGAGCTCCCAAGCCATTTGAGGCGTTTCGGGCTTCGTCAAAAGAGTCTTCTATAAGGTTGGGTTTGTTCATGGGTCTTTTCTTACCGGCAGTCACTGCGCGGATCAGTGATTTCATCGCAGTCCATGTGGGGTGCTTCCAAGAACCTCCGTCCGGCATGAGGCCTAAGAGACCCCCCGAAAGCCACTAAAACGATTTATGCAATGCATGGGGAGGGTATGCTGGCCGTGCACTGTCGACCCAGCCCCAGGTTCAGATTGGATACAGGTAAGTTGGCGCCAGACGTATGCTTCATGCTTGAAATGGCGTGCTTGAACTTGGGACCCTCAACATTTGGACGGCTGCACCTTGCATTCTAGAAGGCTTCGCTTGCAATTGCTGGAGGGGAAACATGGTAAACACAGAGACCACAAGAATACCGCACGCCATTGACATTTGAGATTTCCTCACAACTGCCACAGAATGCCTGATCTTGAGACATTGGCAAAACCACGACCCCCGCGAGGGGTTGACATGAAAAGCAACTATTGCGATTCTCACAGCGCCTCTACCCCCCCCCAAATCACAAAAGCTATAAAGCTAAGGGGATGGCTGGGAGCCACCAAGAAAAGAGAGAGAAAGCAAGATCATAACAGATCTATGCGAGTCTGACAGCTCAATGAGTGCCCAAAGCCCCTCCCGGCTGGCGGTCCAGATGCACCCAGTGCCATTCTTCCTGCAGTCGGCCATTCCTCGGGCGGCTAGATACCGCTTGGCTTTTTCTGCACATACTGCTCTGGGAATGTGACAGAACTGGTAGCTTTGGCATAAGCTGCACACTGAATGGGTGCCAAGGTAGCCGTTATTGCAGCTATGGCGCAAGAACTTTGCTTTGCCAAAGGAAACCTGCCAACTTTGTGTGGGACGGTTTTGTACTGAGCAAGGCGTCATTGCCAAGTGGACTTCCCCAGTGTCTTTGACGCTTCTCACGGGTCATTAGGCTTATCTCAACATGGCGATGTCGATGTGTTTGTTTTGTCCAGCTAACGCATCTCAGCTGGTCAACCAACTGCAATGATCACGTTCAATTGGAAACCTAGCGACTCAGGACGCCTACATGTCCCACTCATACTGCTTGGAAATGACTGAGGGGTTATGGCAAGCACGCGCAGGCCCTTTACAACCATGGCTGTCCTAACCTTCTTGCTTGGATGTTCAAGCAACTTAGTGAGGGCCTGCTGATGGACGGAATCAAATTGGGTCAACTCCTTTCCCGTGGCAATACCCTACTTGGCAAGGAACCAAAGCGCAAACCCCAAAAAAGCTCAAGTGACAAGCATCCTCACCCCAGTCAAACTTCGGCGGCGCTGGTGGGACAAACAATGGGTTGGTTGGCTTTGTCAACCTGGTTTTCAGCCACAAATTGCAATTTACTATGTTTCCATAAAGGCAAACAAACGCGAAAGTGACTGATGACATGTTTTTTTTTGGGGGGGGCGTCTTGACTCGGTTCAGGCCTCGTTCTGAACTACATGCTCTTTGGCTCGCTTCAAACATGCAACATTCCTCCCAAGTTTGTGCAAGGAAGAAAACGATCAGCCTGAAACACGACGGGGAAAGGGAGAAACTGCCAAACTTTGGGGAAATCGCTCGCGACCGCGATTTCAGAAGCGAGCAGAACCTGTGCCGCAACTGAGCGGGTGAATAACACGAGCTTGCAATCGAAACGGTCGAAACCTCACGAGGCTTTCAAAAGCAGCCCATGAACAACTCCGCCCCCCCCCCCCCCAATAAATAAACAAATAAGCACAAACACAAATACCCCCCACCCACCAAAACTAAAAACGAACAAAAACGGGCACAACCTCCCACCCACCCACGCACCGCTGGGAAACAAAAAAAGAACAAACAAGAAGAAACAAAACGAGAAACAAAACAAAAACATATATATATATATATATTAAAAAAAAAAAAAAAAAAAAAAAAAAAAAAACGCCGGTCTCGTCCGAGCGAGGTGCGGCCAGCGGTGCCAGCGCAAGGTCTCGGAGCCCAGGGACGCCATGTCCAGCTCCAGGCGCTTGCCCCGCACCACCTCCGGCGTCGCGTCGCGTGGCACGTGGCGTGGCGCGTGGCACGTGGCGTGGCACGAGGCGTGGGAAGCGTGGGAAGTGGAAATGTCCATGGTGCCCCAAACTCTCATTTGTGGACCGCCCGTTTTTTGAGATCTGCGAAACGTGAGTCCAACTTGTCAAAGTTTCGGAAACCCAACCAGAAAGTGACGAACTTTCAGAGCACCTGCTAAAAGTGAGTCGAACTTTCAGTGGGATTAATGGAGACTACCACGAAATCAAGTGAACAACTGGAAAGCTAAGGAACCTGATGGCCTTCGGGAGCCACCAAGTCAAGGAGTGCGCGAGTGACAAAGCAACAACACAAGTACCCTCACAGGCGTGGGGGTCCATCCCATCTTGAATCTGCTTTCGACGAAATAGCCTCCAATTCTTCCAACCCTCTTCTCCCCAACCTCCAAGGGATCAGACCCAACTTGCCTTGGTGGCTGTTGACCCCCCTGCAAAAAGCTTATTATTTAACTTTTTTGGGTGTGGAAAACCCCAATTGATTTCAACCAAAAAGTGAAAGTCTACAGATCCAACCCAGCAGTCCAGTTGCCTCTTCTCCCCAACCTCCTGACCCCCAACCTCCTAGGGGCCAGAAGGTCAGACCCAACCGAGCCCCCAACACCACGCACTGCCCGGGCCCCCCGGCGATGCCATTCCGCAGCCAGAGACTGGCCGGCGGCTCCGCACCCTGGCCGACACCTTTCTTTCAGATCTCAAAGTGACTACCTGGAGTCTCCATGACCAATTGTGCTTGCAGTGGCCATAAGCTGGAAGTCCTTCTAAAACAAATTGTCCCTATGGTCATTTAGAGCCCACCTAGAGTCTCCTTCTGACCCGTTAAAAATGGGTCAATGACCAACCATGACTTTGAGTACTGACACCATTATTTTGGGTAATGACCCCATTTTTTGGGGTAATGACCAACCGTGATTTTGGGGACTGACACCATTATTTTTGGTAATGACCCCATTATTTTGGGTAATGACCCCATTATTTTGGGTAATGACCAACCATGATTTTGGGTACTGACACCATTATCTTGGGTAATGACCCCATTATTTTGGGTAATGACCCCATCATTTTGGGTAATGACCAACCATGATTTTGGGTACTGACACCATTATTTCGGGTAATGACCCCATTATTTTGGGTAATGACCAACCATTTTTCGAGGGACACTTCTTGCCCTTGAGAGGCCACCACCTTCAATCCGGGTTGATTCATCTGGAGCCATTAGGGAATGGGATGTGGACCTGGAGTCTCCTTGTGACCCGAATCAAAAATGGGTCAATGACCAACCATTACTTTGGGTAATGACTCCATTTTTTAAGGGTCATGGAGACTCTAGGTACCTTGGGGATGGCTGTGGGTCAAAAACAGGTACCCAAAATGGAACGCTGGAAAATGGAACCAACGACAAGAACCTGCGGTCCGATTCCTGGTGGTTGAATTTTGACCCATACCCAGACCGACTCAAAGTGACCAACTTGGGCTGAACTTGGCTCTCCAACCGGATCCCCTGGTAAACATGAGTCGAAGGCTGATGAGCTTGGCTGTCCAAACGGATGTTCCTGCTAAAAGCAGGGTTGTGGGAAATGACCACTTCTGTGATACAACAAAAAGGCTTCCCAAAGACTAACACCCCATAAAAAGGGGGAGATTCCCTTGTATCACAGAAGTGGGAATAAACCCCTTGATTCCACAACCCTGGCTAAAAGTGAGTCGAACTTATGGGTAAAATCCAGAAACCCTTGGCTCTCCAAACTGAACTTCCTGGTGACAGTGAGTCGAACGTGTGGGTGAAATTCTTGTGAAACCCAACCACCAAAACACCAACAACAAAAAAACAACTAAAAAGCTAAGTTGAACCGAGTGGCCTTCGGGAGCCAGCAAGAATACCCTCACCAAGACAAATTTATGGACACTGAAGGCCTGGGCCTTGGTCAGCTTCCTTTTACGAGCGTCTGGTGGGTCCCATGGTTGTAAGGGTGACGTGTTGCAAAGCGTTGCAAAGGGACCAGACCTGGAACTGCAAGTCTGAACACTGACTTGAGGGAAGCATTGCATTGAGGCCCTTTGAGCTGAAACCCCGGTATTGACTTAACTCGACAAAAAAATAATCCTTTGCGAGGCGTTTCATCGCCATTCCACACTTCCTTTGCCACCGGCCTGTACGCCCATGTGCGCGAAACGCTGGCCTGCAGCCTACCCTTCACATTGCCACCCCGTGCATCATGCAAACCGGCGCCCTTCCCGCAGTCCTCCCCCTACAGAGCCCCTGTCAACGGAGCAGACAACATGGCAAAAGCAACCTGGCTGTGGATGGCTGCGAAATCCATTTTGCACCACATGAAAACCGTGGTGGAAAAAACAGTATTGGTTGGTTTTTACAGGAGAATCATGGAGAATCGAATCATTCCATAACTCAGGCGGTGCAGGGTTTCGTCCATCCACAGTAGGGTTCACAAAAGTGTCAGCGCGGCTTACCAGTGAAACCATCGACCCATGCGACCCCCCGCATCCATACCCGTCCCCCTCACGAGTGCGCCTCAACCGCGCGCACCTTCAGCTCCTCTCCAGCCTGCCAGACGACGGGAAGGCTCCCTTGTCGTTTGAAATGCGCTGCGGTTGACTCAAGGGAAACCAATGTGGGTATCATCACCCAGGGTCCCGTGCTCAAAGGCAAACTCATATGGATGAAGGATGATCCTTCCCCATCCTGGGTCTCTAGTTGTGACCAACCGTGTGAAGAGACATATGCAGCCACCCTCCCGCAAAAATGATGCATGGAACGTACATGAACGTAGACTCCGTGCCTAGTGGACGACATTTTCAGCTGCACCCACCCGGTGCTCTTTTCATCCCGCCTTCCAAGCCTCCGTGTCGCCCACGCCTGACAACCTCCCAACGTCCGGCCTGCGCAACCTCATGCAGGCGGCCCGTTGTGGAATCCTGGCACGGCCAAAGGACGGCAACTGCCTCACATCTCGGTTGCTGTCTGCTCCGCTGCTAAAAGCTTCACTTTTAGTGGTTCAATGGGAAGCCCATTAGTGGGCAAAAAGTTAAAGTCCCAACATCCCTTGACAAAATGCATCACAGACATAATTGCCAAAGAACGTCTGTGGCCATCACGATTTTTCAAGGATATCTTCAAGACAGAGATACTCTAGGAAAGGTCCCCTGGCGCACGCTACTCTAGGAAACGCATCAAGTACAAATCTCAGGCACTTGGACTGATTTGCTGCACGCCAACGGACTGTAGGTAGCGGGAGGGAAACTGGTCAAACAAGGTCAAGCTACTCTGGTTGTGTCCTGAATGTCTGGGGAGAATGGCTGCCCTCTGTCACTTGAAGGTTGGGTCGACAAAAGTGCCCTTGCAGCTCCCCCCGCAAACTTGGGCACACCTCAGCGCCTCATTTGGCAACCTGTGACCGTGCAGCCCCAAGGCCGCGTCTCACACGCGCGCCGCGACGCGTTGAAGCGATTCAAAGCGCAGGCCTTCCAGGTGCCGACGAGGGACCGGACCTGACTCAGGTTTCGGAGTGCTCAGGAAGAAGCGACCGCACTCTATAAGATCCCACTGGGCTTGCACTCAACTCGGAGCCAAGCGGATTGGGTTTGTTGAAAGGGGTACGTCTAGATGCCCCGTCTGGATTCAGAAACAACTGCACTTGAATGAAATTGAGGCTTTACATTTGACAAGGCATAGAGCAATCTAGCAAATGGGGCAAACCAGCACTTTCGCCACTTCTGGACCAAACGGTGCCATAGAACAACAAGTTGGAGGAGGAAACGTGACTATTCTTCTTTCGGGTTAGCCTACCCAAGACTAAATAGCCCATCTTTCTATGTCAATGTGTTTCTTGCCAGACCCCCTGTTTGGCACGTCAGCTATGCTGGCGTACGCGGTGTGTTAAGTTGAAGATGCCTGGGCTTACTTCCCTCCGCCGTCGCCGTCAAGTCCGCTGATGCAAAGAGAGGTCCTTTGTGCATCAGGGGCGAGATAAGCTGAAGGCATGCCAGTAGACAAATCACACGCTGGAGAGAATGCTTCAGGTCCTTAGTTGGTGGTTTGGATTGACGGTTTGGATTTGCATTTGGACCCCTGGTTCTTGTAGAGGGCCACCAATCCAAACCACCAATTAGAGAAAGCCCAATACTTGGCCGACTCTGAATGCAGGGGCGCGCGCACACACACACACAAACATGTCTTCCAGCATGTGTAGTGGATTCTACCCGACACGAGTCGGGGTTTGTATCTTCCCGGGCCGCATTGACAGAGCAGCTCATGATATACACGATTCGCAAGGAGCTCTGCCACCCCCTTTCTGAAGGCTCTGCCAACGGGAAACAACTTGGTTGACCCCGGGGGTTTGGGGAGCAAAAATCCCCAAATTTAGCAGTTCAGTGGTTGGATTTCAACCACTAAACCACAATAGGCAAAATGTAAAATGTTTCCCAACGACAACCATGAAGCTTGCATTACTCAGCAGTACCGCATGAGGCGGGGATTTCATCTTCCCGTCAGAGGTCCACTTCTCGAAGATTCAGCACCTCTTTGGGCGATTTCAGTTTGTCTGAGGCCGAAGCGATGCTGGCCCACTGTGCTTGGCGGTCCTCCTCAGCCTGAGCGTGCAGAGGGCAAGAATGCAATCGGTTGAACAAAAACAACATGGTCTAAACATCGTGAGACAGCCAAACACTTGTGCGATCTTGTGCGAAGGTCCAGCTTCGAGTCGACCTTGCTTCAAAACGGGATCCAAGCAAACTCAGTTCCTGCGTGGATTGGCCAAACAAAATAACAAAACTTTTTGTGAGGACTGACAGGATTGGCTTTTCAAGAAGCTTGTCAAGTCCGCAACGGAACTCATCGAGTGAGAAATTGCTGCCATGTTTGATTCATACCGGCCCTTGCAACAAACAGAGGGCATTTGTCATTGAGCTCAAAAGGCCCCACCAACAGGTGTCAAACAAAGCTAGGCACAAACCGCAGGAAGTGAACAGATCTCAAGTTAAACAGGGACACCCCCAGCACCTCCTGGTCGAAAGTGAAGTTGGTCTGCCAAAACGAACCCCCTGAGTGAACAGATCTCAAGTTAAACAGGGAGACCCCCAGCACCTCCTGGTCGAAAGTGAAGTTGGTCTGCCAAAACGAACCCCCTGAGTGAACAGATCTCAAGTTAAACAGGGAGACCCCCAGCACTTCCTGGTCGAAAGTGAAGTTGGTCTACCAAAACGAACCTCCTGAGTGAACAGATCTCAAGTTAAACAGGGAGACCCCCAGCACCTCCTGGTCAAAAGTGAAGTTGGTCTGTCAAAACGAACCTCCCTGAAAACGAACCCCCTGAGTGAACAGATCTCAAGTTAAACAGGGAGACCCCCAGCACCTCCTGGTCGAAAGTGAAGTTGGTCTGCCAAAACGAACCCCCTGAGTGAACAGATCTCAAGTTAAACAGGGAGACCCCCAGCACCTCCTGGTCGAAAGTGAAGTTGGTCTGCCAAAACGAACCCCCTGAGTGAACAGATCTCAAGTTAAACAGGGAGACCCCCAGCACCTCCTGGTCGAAAGTGAAGTTGGTCTGCCAAAACGAACCCCCTGAGTGAACAGATCTCAAGTTAAACAGGGAGACCCCCAGCACCTCCTGGTCGAAAGTGAAGTTGGTCTGCCAAAACGAACCCCCTGAGTGAACAGATCTCAAGTTAAACAGGGAGACCCCCAGCACCTCCTGGTCGAAAGTGAAGTTGGTCTGCCAAAACGAACCCCCTGAGTGAACAGATCTCAAGTTAAACAGGGAGAGCACCTCCTGGTCGAAAGTGAAGTTGGTCTTGAGTCTCAAGTTAAACAGGGAGCAAAGTGAAGTTGGTCTGCCAAAACGAACCCCCTGATGAACAGATCTCAAGTTAAACAGGAGACCCCCAGCACCTCCTGGTCGAAAGTGAAGTTGGTCTGCCAAAACGAACCCCCTGAGTGAACAGATCTCAAGTTAAACAGGGAGACCCCCAGCACCTCCTGGTCGAAAGTGAAGTTGGTCTGCCAAAACGAACCCCCTGAGTGAACAGATCTCAAGTTAAACAGGGAGACCCCCAGCACCTCCTGGTCGAAAGTGAAGTTGGTCTGCCAAAACGAACCCCCTGAGTGAACAGATCTCAAGTTAAACAGGGAGACCCCCAGCACCTCCTGGTCGAAAGTGAAGTTGGTCTGCCAAAACGAACCCCCTGAGTGAACAGATCTCAAGTTAAACAGGGAGACCCCCAGCACCTCCTGGTCGAAAGTGAAGTTGGTCTGCCAAAACGAACCCCCTGAGTGAACAGATCTCAAGTTAAACAGGGAGACCCCCAGCACCTCCTGGTCGAAAGTGAAGTTGGTCTGCCAAAACGAACCCCCTGAGTGAACAGATCTCAAGTTAAACAGGGAGACCCCCAGCACCTCCTGGTCGAAAGTGAAGTTGGTCTGCCAAAACGAACCCCCTGAGTGAACAGATCGCAAGTTAAACAGGGAGACCCCCAGCACCTCCTGGTCGAAAGTGAAGTTGGTCTGCCAAAATGAACCCCCTGAGTGAACAGATCTCAAGTTAAACAGGGAGACCCCCAGCACCTCCTGGTCGAAAGTGAAGTTGGTCTGCCAAAATGAACCCCCTGAGTGAACAGATCTCAAGTTAAACAGGGAGACCCCCAGCACCTCCTGGTCAAAAGTGAAGTTGGTCTGCCAAAACGAACCCCCTGAGTGAACAGATCTCAAGTTAAACAGGGAGACCCCCAGCACCTCCTGGTCGAAAGTGAAGTTGGTCTGCCAAAATGAACCCCCTTGAGGCTACGGCCGGGCCCTTCATGAAAAAATAGCACCAGTCCAACGGATCCAAAGGCGAGCGACTTGAAACCCTCAGATATAGGGGTCACTCTATTTACCCAAATCAAAAGTTTGTCAACTCACTGGCTTCCATTCAAACCATCGAAATCCACTTGGCTCGGAAACCCCGAGATATGGGGGTTGATCAAAGGTCCGTGAGACGGGGGATGACCGTGCGGGGAACCCACCAGACAAAAATGATGACTCTTGCCACCTGGGAAACGATTCACCCACAGTCAAAAACCAGGTGGCCCGAAATCGAAGTTCTGATCCACCGCCACCTCCCCAGGGGAAATTGCCTAACTCAACAAAAAGTATTCAAGCCCCCAACTTAAAATCTGAGCCCCAGCCCTGAACAAAATATGCCTAATTCAAAAAACAAGTCTTCAAGCCCCCAACTTAAAATCTAAAACCCCCCAAAACCCGCCCCTCGGCCGCCCCTCGGCCCCCGGCCCCCGATCCCCGCGCTCCCAGCGCTATCCCGATCGCCTTCCTCTCCTCCTCCTCGCCGATGGCTTCCAGCTCCTTGCGGTAGCCCTCCGCGAACTGGCGGCTCGCCGCTGGGTCGCCGGGGTCGCGAGGGCGTCGCGTCGGGTCGAGGGAAGGACCTTCAAGGAGTCCGGCTGGGAACAGGTGTATTCATGAATCAATATCCTTCAAGGAAACATCCTTCGAGGAAATATCCTTCAAGGAAATATCCTAAGAATCTCCTTCAAGGAAAACAGGGGCAATTATTCCATTTGGGGGTGCCGTAAGATAGGTCCGAGTCCGGCTGTTAAACAGAAGGAATTCCCTAGGGAATCAGAGGGGATGGATATTATGGGGTATTCCGGTATTCATTTGGGGGTGCCGTAAACTTGCTGGTTCGATGGGCAGGGAATGAGAATTGGACTGACCCTCAGAGGAAAACCATCCCCGATGTGGTTTCCTTCAAGAACGGTTCATATGGTTCATTCCCAAACACCCGAACAGTCCTTCCCTACCTGTCGCACCAAGGCGAAGAAGAAAAACAACATGGGCCGCATGACCAGAAAATGGGACGGAAGCAGCGATGCGTTTAGTCTCCGCACCCTCTCGCTAGACTGCACCCCAGGTTTAGGGGCCACGCCTGAGCCCAAGGCCCAAATTTCTCGCCAGACTCACCCCGCGACCGGTCAAACGTAGGCCCCCGGTTTGAAGCCGAATTCTTTTGCGCAAGTCTGACATGTTTGCCCAAAGGATGCGACATGGAGACTTCTCATTCTGGAGCTTCTGGAACTCTCAGCTGTCTTTGCCCAAAGGCCGTAGCCGTATTTTCGTTGTTCGCCATCCATGAAACAAAACCAAATCGGTGGATCCCTTGTTTGGCTCCTACTGCTCGCACGCGTGCCCTGAAGCTTGACTCCCGGCTAAAAGCCTAACAATTGGTTTAATGGAAAACCCATTAGTTGGCAAACAAAGTTAAAGTCCTAACATCCCTTGGCAAAACGCACCAACGTTGATGACCCCGAACCCGCCCTACAGCCACCCACAAGCCGGCCGGCTGACCATTCCCCGGCCTCCGACTGCAGATTTCGGGGCCAGCTCTGTGGGCCCTGCCTCGGGATGGCGGATGGGTGGATATGGGAACAGGCCGCTGGAGTCGATTTCTACAGTGGAATTGTCCAACGCACATGGGGAAGTCGATTTATTTACCTTATTTTTTTTGGGGCGGGGAGGGGTGTTCCACAAATAGAAGCCTGGAAAGCTGGGGCTGAAATCTGATCCCAAACATAATTTGGGTGCAGCTGCCCTGCTAGATCTTTGCATGGTAGGTCCTCTGGTTGGACTCAGGTTTCCGACCAGCTCAATGAAGCTTTGGGCGGTTCCACGTGCATTTGCAGGAAAGCCAGCCAGCTTAGTTGAGCTTGCGAAAATACGTAGGATCAACCCCAACTAAACTGGACCCTCAGGAAGCTAAACTCCCCCGCCCCTTGAAATGTCACAGTGCCCAGTGGAACCCATCTCAAACTGACCCAAAGGATCCCGAAGGTGATGGTGGAAGTCTGCAACTTGCTGCGGATACAGCCTTCTAACACCAAGAGCCGGGTTTCAACATGCACGACTTTGCCTTTCGCTGGGAATCTTTAGCTGTGTTTCTCCCCAAAGCCCCGCAAACTTTTCCAACTGCATCCGTCAACCACACAAAGCTGACAGAGCACGGCCAACAAAGAACATGCCAACCAGCCAGCCCTGCATAACGTCAACTTTTGAAGAACGGACCCTCCTCCCCTGGAAAGTGCTGGTCGCCTCTCGGAAACTCAGCGCTGTTCCAATTTCAAAGTTGGTCAATCCACTACAAACTTTACAACTTGTCCATAACCTGGAATGGGTGAATCCCCGAAGAACTTCCGAGGCTCGTTTTACTTGCTGTTGCGATAGGTAGGGAATGACCGAGTCTGGGTGGGAACGAACCTCAAAATTCCCAAGCCAAATCGGATGGGGGATCCATTTCTCTTCCATCGAACCGACCGCAAGAATGCGGTGCCAAGTAGGGCTCCTTCGATTTCCCCTCGCTCACCTTAACTGGGCAAAACAAAAGGTGATGTTCAAAACCACCAAAAAGGGAGCTACAGGGACCCCTCCCCAGGCAGGCCACAGGTGAAGTCTTGAAAAAATCGAGGACTCGATTTCCGTAAAGAAACCCACCAAGCAGCCACAAATCCTGCCAAGGTTTCAGGGAAAAACGACAAAACCGCCAGGCAAAAGGCGTAAAACTACCAAAACCCACCCCCAAAAAAACGGGACCTCGACCTCGAGGCCTCGGACCTTCAGCGGTGCCAAACCCCCGGCGCCTCAGACTCAGCGGGGCGCGCTTCGCCTTGGCCGCCTCCGCCTGGTAGGTGGGCACCGCCTGGCTCGATACGCATCGGTTTCTGCGGGCTTTGGGGAATCGGTGAGTCACTTGCTCAAAACCCTTTGTCAAAATTCGGTCGTAATCCCAGAACCATGCTTCAAGAAAGAAAACGGAGATCCGCAACGATTTCTGGCTGGGATCGGCCCTTAAGCCTTACTAACCTTCTACCCGGGTTTTGGTTATGGCTCAGGTGGGTTTGTTGCTGGTGGTGTTGGTGTTGGTGTTTGTGTGTTGGTTGGTGTGTGTGGTGTGTGACTGTGTGCTTAGGCTTTTGCTGGCGTATGGTTGCTGGTGATTTTGCTTGTGCTCGGTTGTGATTGTTTGTGACAGCTTTTGTTTGGTTGCTTGTTCGTGTGTGTGTGTGTGTGTGCTTTCTCTTTTTGGTACGTTGTAATGTTGTTTCTTACTCCCTGGGTGATAGGCAGGGAGAAACACTAAACACATATGGGCCTTCTGACCCAGCTGGAGCCGTTGCCAATGGGCGAAAAGCAGGAACCCTTCTAGAAGCACCCAAGGTAGAGGAATCTCTTTCTTTGGATCAGGCCTTGTTGATGGATTCGGGGAGGCAGCCGGCAAAGCTGAGAGCCAGCCGCCAAGTTCAACGCAGCCAAGGCAATGCTTGCAACACGCGGACGCGCGGACGAGTTCCCGGACCCGATGCGATCTATCATAGCTGGAGGATGTTTTCTCGCAGGTTGGCGCCAGGCATTGCGAGCTTCAAGCCGCGCACAGCTCTGAAATTTAACTCCCCATGGTTTCTAGGTCCTCCAGTAGAGAGGCTAGAATAAGGGTACCAACTTTTTCTGTAGTCTATTTTAGTGGGGGAACCCTCCCCCAAAAAAGGGTAAAAGGGCACTACTGGGGGACCTAGGTTTGCAGCACCGGAACCTTTCTTTGCTTTTTGGATGCCTTCTTGGAAATATTCGGACCAATCGCTGGAAAAAAAGGGTAACCTCAACATTGGCTCCTAGATCTGGACTTCTCCCTTGAACAAACCGCCTGGAGCCTTGCACAGACCTTGGCCAGGTCCTATCTCTCTGTCGGAATCTGTCCCGCTTGGGGGCACACTGGGCGCCTAGAAGCTCATCTCAACTTCTTGAAAACAATCGCCTGCTCTAGTCGGGGCGTTGAGTGGGCGACTTGCTTTAACCAAGCGCGCAAGAAAGCGCGCCGGCCAAAGCCGTGTTTCGCAAGACCCCGCCAAATAAAAATAATCTTTGGTTCCCAGCCTTTGCGTGAGGCAAAGCCACAAAACAAATACGCAGTACTCACCAATCATGGCCATGTCCAGCTCAAAACCACTTGGACAACGCGAATGGAACAAGGTTGCGGGGACAAACTTGCTGCGTTTCGGAAAGGGCGCCTAAACGGGGGCGTTACAGAAGTGCCGCCCAGCGATCTTTTGAAGTGACCCCTTCGAAACAGAACAAACTGCTGCGAGGCCATCGGGGGCTTCTTTGGCTCACCGACCGAGTGGAGGGCTACCCTCCCACCAATTAACATGGACTATCATGGACCCTGCCCTAAGGCTGCAGATTTCCTAAATTTATGAAATCCATAGATTTAAGAAAATTAATGAATTTACGTAAATTTATACTTAAATGCAACACTTACGTAAAATTTTAAGAAGGCTTTAATCTGTCGAGGAGGCCTGAAAAGTGCATACAAAAGCGCATAAGAAATGCATAGAGCATGCACAGAGAATGCATAAGAAATGCATAAGAAATTCATGGAAAATCATAAGACATGCATAGAACATTGAAAGCAGATAAAGACTTGAGTAGCACGCCGGCAACGTAAGGAAAGGAGTCGGCGCATGTAACATTGTCAAGACAGCGCGCATCCAGACTTGTTGGCAATGAAGCGTAAGTGTCCCCAAGAAACATACAAAGCACCTTTCTGCAGGGGATAGCCGACGCTCGCGCAGGTAAGGAGCACAGTCTTCATGTAAACAAAGGAGTGGCGCTCACGTAGCAACAAAATACTCAAAATACTCATAGTGTACACAAATACTCACAAGTCAGCAACAACCCGGCAGTTCCAAAAAACATAGCCATGGACACGTCATGGAATATGCATGGAAACTTGATGGAAACATGATTTTTTTCTAGGACAGTGTCTGTGGAAAGTTCATGGGAATTACATGGGAAAAGCCAGCAACAACCCAGCAGGTCAAAAAAAAACAACAACCATGGAAACTTCATGAAAAATGCATGGACACTTGATGCAAAATCGTGGAAACTGTCTTGGAAAGTTCATGCGGGAAGTTCATGGGAATTTCATGGAAAAAGCCAGTAACAACCCAGCATATGAAAACACAACAACCATGGACACTTCATGGAAAATGCATAGAAACTTCATGGAACATAGTGGACTCTTTCTAGGACAGTGTCTTTGGACAGTTCATGGGAATTTCATGGGAAACCAGCAACAACCCAGCAGGTCGGAAAAAAAAAGAAGAAAAAACAACATGGACACTTCGGACACTTCACGCAGTGTTCTTTTGAAGAGCTTGAAGTAGCTATATAATCTTAAACATTTATATTTTGATGAGTTTGCTTCTGAATCTATGATTGTTTCAGTGTGAATGCACTTGTAAGTAAATCTCGCAGCCTGAATCACTACTTGTGTAAGTAAGAGTACTCAGGTGAGTAAATCTGGCAGCCCGGGGAAAAAGCCAGCAACAACCAAACAGGCCAGAAAAGAAAAACCATGGAAACTTCAGGCAGCGTTCTTCCCAAGAGCTTGGACTAGCCATATAATTTGTATCAGTTTTATTTTGACCAATTTGCTTCTGTATCTATACCTGTGTCAGCGTGAATGCACATGCAAGTAAATCTTGCAACTTGAATCACTTACTTGTGTCAGTGTGAATGCACAGGTAAGTAAGTCTCGCATTCTCAATCACTTACTTGTGTCAGTATGAATACTCAGGTAAATAAATCTGGCAGCCTGAGTCACTTACTTGTGTCAGTGTGACTTCTCATGTAAGTCAATCTTGCAGCATGAATTGCTTACTTGTGCCAGTCTGAATACTCAGGTAAGTAAATATGGCAGCCTGGGTCACTTACTTGTGTCAGTCTGAATACTCATGTAAGTAAAAATGACTCAGGTAAGTGAACCTCAAGTTGAGCAAGTGAACCTCGAAGGGAAGGGTAGACTGGCAGGTTCTCAAGCAAATTGCAACGGACAAAGAACCACTAAGACCAGCCGCGGCGATTGCCGCCAAGTTATAGCAGTTAGCAAGTAGGCGGCAACCGGGCGGCAAGCGCTCGGCAAGTGCTCGGCAACTAGCTCAACTCGGGCATAGTCATTTCCAACGCTTGCGGGGACGTATAATCGTTTTTTGGACTTGTTATGTTTTCAAGTTATGTTAAGTTTTTCTCAAGTTTTCACATCTAGATATAAGTTTCGATAGTGGTTTTTCCTTCTCTTATAAGTCAAGTTAAGTGAGTGTAACTCTTGATAAGTTTTAACTTTGTAGAACTTGTTCTTGTCTTTTTCGAGTCGGTTTTCGTTGATCGCCCCGTAAGCTTTGCTTTGCAAAGTCGCCATGTTTTGGTAGCAACCTGCTGAGAGCTTTGTGCAACATCGGTGCAGCCAGCGTTGGCCTCGGCTGCGATTTTAAGAAAGGATAGTTGAGAGCTTGAGCTATTTTAGGATCAAGTGCATGCGCGGGGCCGCCATGTCATGGCGCCTAATTTGGCACCAAGACCCGATCTGCGCGGTTTGCTACGGCTGGAAATTTGAAAGCTATCTGATGGGCAAAGACGGGTCGGCTTTGCAGCAAGCAGCCAAGGACTGCAAGTGCGATCTGGGACCGGTGGTGCCGACAACGCCGCCTCCGAAGTCCAAACGAGACATTTTTGAGGCGGCGCCGACAACGCCGCCTCCTAAGTCCAAACAAGGCTTTCGCCCGTCATAAGTGCAAGCGCGCATCCGCGAGGAAACAAATGCTGTGGCGGCTTCATTGTTGTTTGGCAAGAATGTAAAAAAGCGGCTAAAATGAAAGGATCCCCTGTCTCATCACGGGGGTTTTGTTTGGAGAGCTTTGAGGGGGTGAGAGCTTATGAGAGTTTTCAGTGTTTGAGAGTTGATGAGAACCTGGAACGTCTTGAGAGTTCAAGAGATTCGAAAGTTCTGAGGGGGTGAGGATTGCATGGCGTGTGACTCGAGCATCAGTGATTATGCAAACAAAGACGCTGGCCAGTCAAATTCAGAAACTCTCAAACTCTCCAAACTCTCAAGAAACATTTGCATGGTGTGTGACTCGAGCATCAGTGAAATCTGCAAGCAAAGAAGCTGGCCAGTCAAATTCAGAAACTCTCAAACACTCCAAACTCGAGCAGAAACACTTGCATGACATCATGTGTGACTCGAGAGTGGTGAGAGCTTGATGTGTGTAGCTGAGAGACAGTGTTGAATCAGAGCTTGTGCACAACTCATTTGAGAGCTGCAGGGGATTGAGATTTGAGAGTTTGAGAGTTTTGGCCTGAAGAGTTTGCGGGGGATCCATTGGTTTTGAGATACTGACGTGCTAACAGTACGACGAATAAATTAAGAAAATTCTGAATAAATCCAGAAAATCCTGAGTAAATTCAGAACAATTCTGAACGTATGAATTTGAGGCTTGCCCAGTACTTGTTTCCATTTGCTGAGTTCAAAAGAATTCTGAATAAACTCAGAATATTCTGAATAAATTCAGAAAATTCTGAATTTGAGGCTTGCCCAGTACTTGTTTCCATTTGCTGAGTTCAGAAATTTCTGAATAAATTCAGAAAATATGAACTTACGGCTTGCCCAGTACTTGTTTCCATTTTCTGAGTTCAGAAAATTTCTGAATAAATTCAGAGAATTCTGAATAAATTCAGAAAAGATTCGGAACTTAAGGCTTGCCCAGTACTTGCTTCCATTTGCTGAGTTCAGAAATATTCTGAATAAATTCAAAAAGTTCTGAATAAATTGAAAAATATGACTTTGAGGCTGGCCCAGTACTTGTTTCCATTTGCTGAGTTCAGAAAAAATATGAATAAGTTCAGAAAATTCTGAATACATTCAGGAAAATTCTGAATAAAATATGAGTCTGAGTCTGGGGCCAATAAACTCTCATAATCAACTCTCGAACTCTCAAAACTATCAAGTGGCTCGTTTCCTGCAAACATTTGTTTGATCAAAGTTTCGTGTTTGGAGAGAGGTGGATGGCAACCTGCTAGTGTTGATTTGACGGACTCGACGACGGCTGTCTCAGAAAAATTGTGCGGCTGGAGAGTTTTGACAGCGTGGGGAGTCTTGAGCGGCTAGAGAGTTTTGACAGCATTCATTGACGGCTCCTTGAGAGATTTCATGCTTTTTCAACCGCTTTCGTATGTAGGCATTGCTTTTGTTTGCGCAATTATGTGCTGGCCACAACGTGCGATTTTGGCTCGCAGATAACTTTTTGTGACTTTTTATATGTTTTATAACTTTTTCTACGTGTTTCTAACTTTTTGTAGCACAACATATCTTTGAGGTGCGAACTTACTACCTGCGGATAACTTGTTGTACCTGTTGCGAAGTTGGCTATAAATACATGCAAGCTCCGTGAAGTTTTTCTAACCCCTATATCTTGTCTATAACTCCTGCGGCTGGACTTAGCAGTGTCTCCGGTAAAAATCCGCGCCCGAGCAAATCC